TCACAAAATAATAAACATTTTGGATCTTTATGCTTGAAGCCTGAAAAGCAGCTAAAGGTAGAAAAGTTCCAGGAGTCGGACAGCGAGGCACCGTGACGGAACCACGGTCCAGTTCCGATGCTTCAGACGTAACATTTGGGTTTTAAACCTTAAAGGAGTCAGGCTTTCGGCTGTTCTTTGGTTTTATGGATGTTTGTTCCAGATCTGTGGTGCATAGAAGCTGAATGTTGCTTCTCCATGTTTGGTTCTGGATGCAGAGCAGAACCAGAACCAGAACCTGAGAGAAGGCCGACTCTGTAACTGCCTTTATGTGGCTCTGGTGGTTCAGGTCAGAGGTCAACCTGATCTCTATCTGTCTAGATCTATAACTCTAGACAGATAGCTTTGGCTCAGCTACACTTTGATCTGTTCTCTGCATCTGTTCAGCGATTGGATGGGGTCAAAGGTCACCTGGTGTATCATCTGCGTTGTCATGGTAGCTCATCTGATTACTTGTCAATCCTGAGCCATGCAGACAAGTCTTAGGATTGGACCTTGGGAACATGTGACCTCTGACCTCTTGATGAGAAGTTTCCTGTTGAAACAAAGAAATCCCAGTTCTTCAATTCAGACTGGAACCAGTTGAGTGCCGGACTGGAGAGTCCGACCCAACTGGTTCCAGATGAAGTGAAGTGGAGTTTCTTCCACATGTCACTAGTGGGGCTTTACTGGGAGCAATGGAACCAACCACGTCTCAAACCAATCACTGGATTGTTTTCAGGTGTAACTTCCTGTGTTAACATCCTGGTCATTTTGTCTTCAGGTCATCACTCTGTCCGGCTGAAGGGACATGGGGACCAGTGTGCTGGGCGGGTGGAGGTATGGAAGGACGGGACGTGGGGCACGGTGTGTGACGACAGATTTGACCTGAGAGAAGCCAACGTGGTTTGCTCCCAGCTGGGCTGTGGCGGCGCTCTCAGGGTAACCGGTCAGAACGGATTGTTCCCTCCAGGGAGCGGACCGATCCACCTGGACGAGCTGAACTGCACCGGGAACGAGCAGAACCTGTGGTTCTGTCCGGGTGTCCAGGAAAAGTCTGACTGCGGACACAAAGAGGATGCTGGTGTGGTGTGTTCAGGTCAGTTTGCATCAAACATCTGGTCTGTTCCTGCTAATGTCCACGTTTTGCACAAGCTGCTCTTCTTTATTTGTAGGAGCTGCAAACATTTGAAATGTTTTCCTCAAAAAATGAATGAAAAGTAAAGATACAAAAATATCATAATTCCTCAAAGTTATTTCATTTCCTTTCCCTGTCCATCCAAACATCAACCGGTCCGATCATCCTGCCTTCCTTTCTCCACTGTTTCATCCTCACCAGCAGTTTCTCTGTTAGCTTCATGTAATATCCAATCTGAATCCTAAACATTGTTTCAATCTTTTCCTGTTTTCCCTGCAGATTCGAAGGCGTTTTTTGGAGGAACCACAGAAGGTGTGACTGAGTTGATGACCACAGGTGAACATTTAACAGTTGAATTGTATTTTTCACAAGCGATCAACAGACTGTCAGGAATATTGACCTCTGACCTTTCCGATGTTTGTCCGTTGCTCCCAGCTCGTCTCGTCGGCGTTCTGTCACCTGAACATCTCAGCATCGTGGTTCTGGCTCTTGGACTGCTTGTTTTTGCCATCCTGAATTTGGTTCTCTGCTGCCTTTACAGGCGACGAAACGGTACGACCAAAGGTCAAAGTGCACTGTAGCAAAGTTGAGATCGCTGAGGACAGGTTGCTCCAACGGAGCAGACGGTTGGAGCAACCTGACAGTTAGAGCAACCTGTGAGGAGGAGACGATGTCATGACTTTCTCAGATTTAGTTGCATAAATCAGATCATCTTCCTGATGATGTGCTGAACGTCAGACTTGCTGAAAGCTTTGATTTTCATAAATATCTGGTTTCCTTTCAGTTTGTCTGAAGTCTTGTCCTTGTTTTGTGTGCAGTGTTTCTCCTGCGGTCGGCTCGCTCCAGGCAGACGGCGCCCAGCGATCCTCTGAAGCTCTCCAAGGCCGACCAGAACCTGGCGAGAGCCGGTCCGGTCCCGCCGCCGCCCGCCGGTGAGTTTGGAGCGTCTCCCTCCAGCTTCAGCCACCTGCTGCCGTGCCGACGGGCCGTAGCGGCGCTGCAGGCGGTCAGACCGTGGAGTCGATTCATTCTGTGTGTTTCTGTCTCCAAGTCCCATCCGGCTCCAGGACCGTGTGGACCCAGATCAGGAGAGCTGACGGCGCGTTGGGAGACCCAGACCACGAGCCGTCCGTCAGGATGTCCACCTTTCACAGTGAGACACCTTCCTGTTTCCTGCTCTGTCTTTGTCTCTGGTTTCGCTTCATGGGAATTCTGCATGCCTGCGGTATGGAGCTGCGCTGCATTTTGTTTCAGCCTCTGCAGGCCGATGCAGTGGAGCTGCTGCAGGCTTTGTGCTCAGACTGATGCAACCTGCACTTCTCTGCAGATTCTCAAAGATACAGAACAGACCTGCAGCCGCCAGCGAGGCCTGCAGCTCTCAGCAGCCTGAGTGAGGAAGGTGAGTCAGTCTGCAGCTCCAGCAACCTGCTGCAGCTCCGGCAACCTGCTGCAGCTCCGGCAACCTGCTGCAGCTCCGGCAACCTGCTGCAGCAGGTTGCTGGCGCTGCAGCAGCACCGGCAACCTGCTGCAGCAGCGCCGGCAACCTGCTGCAGCTCCGGCAACCTGCTGCAGCTCCGGCAACCTGCTGCAGCTCCGGCAACCTGCTGCAGCTCCGGCAACCTGCTGCAGCTTCGGCAACCTGCTGCAGCAGGTTGCTGGCGCTGCAGCAGCGCCGGCAACCTGCTGCAGCAGCGCCAGCAACCTGCTGCAGCTCCGGCAACCTGCTGCAGCTCCGGCAACCTGCTGCAGCAGCTCCAGCAACCTGCTGCAGCAGCTCCAGCAACCTGCTGCAGCTCCGGCAACCTGCTGCAGCTCCGGCAACCTGCTGCAGCTCCGGCAACCTGCAGCAGCTCCAGCAACCTGCTGCAGCTCCAGCAACCTGCTGCAGCTCCAGCAATCAGCTTCCTGGTTTTACCTTCCAGGCTCCGGCGCAGACGGTCGGGTCGGCCGAGTGTCCAGGATCTCGGAGGATTCCTTCGACTCATCCAGCACCTCATCTGGCGAATGCTACGAAAACGTGATTCCCAGCCAGAACCCGACCCGGTCAGGTGGGTCCAGACGCCAACAGAACCGTGAGTGACCTTCTGTCTGCAGGTTCCATCCTTTATCTACTCAGCGATGAAGGTCATCTGTACTTCATGGACGTTTCTCTGGGTCGCCTGCAGTGACAGCAGAACCGGGTCAGAACCGGGCTGGGAGCCCACCACCCTACACAAACACTGGTTTCCAGTTTGCACTGGGAGGGAAGGGGGCGGAGCCAAGCTCAGGTAAAGGTCAGCGAGAGACGACCTCACACGTCCATCATCACGATGCTGAAGCTTCTCTGTCACTAGGTGATGGTGATGAAGATGATGATTATTGTCCTGTGAGCCCAGACTGAGAAGCTTCATCTGATGAGGATGAGGAGGATGAGGAAGGACAGCCCAAAGCCCCCAGAGGAACATTCATGGATTCATCTTCAGATTGTGAAACCATTAGATCAGAAATCCGATTTTCATTCCTGACCAGAAATTGGATCAAACTTTGGTCCAATCAGCAGAGAGGAGCAAACTGAGCGCGCTCAGTGTGTCAGGAGGCGTAGCCAATCAGGCAGCCATGTTGAAAGACCGTAGAGGTTAAAGGTCGGAGGTTTAGCTCAGAATCCAGTCCTGATGAGTCAGGATTTATTTCCTGTCTCTGATTCAGTCGTTTCCTCATCAAAGCTTTTCTCCGTCTGAAATGTTTACTTTTCTAACTGTTAGTTTACAGCTGATGACACTTTAAAACACATTCAGTGTTTGGATTTGATTTGTTTAAATCATGCAAACTCAAAATAAAAGGTTTAAAACTCAAAATGTGCCAAAGATATTAATTAAATTTGCACAGATGTCCAAACATGCATCTTGATTCTCCTAATAAATCCAGGTAGTTTTTATTTATTGTTTTTTAAAGCCAAACAGAAACTATTTGTTGGGAACTTTAGTCGTTGTCTTGAGGTTGTTCTGCTGTTCCACCAACAGGGGGAGCCATGAGGTCAAGACTGTTGGGGCGGCTGGTTCTGCCGGTCCGGTTCTGCTGGTACTCTGAGTATTTTCCCTGTGTCTTCTTCTCTAAAATCTACCTTGGATTTTTGTTGGCGTGTTGGAGTTCAAGTCCACCTGATGATGTCATCCATACGGGCGAAGACTCTGTTACCATCCACAGCAACCGCTGAGGCTCCGCCCACCTCGACTCCACTGACCCCGGCGGATTGACCTCATCTCATCAAGGGAGCCATTAAAACCTCCGGGCTGCGGTCCGGCCTGCGGTCCGACCCGGCTTCCTGTTTGGGCCCAGTGAGGCGTTGCTCTATTGATGTCAAATATTGTAGTTTCAGTGGATTGAAGGCAGATTCAGATTTTTCCTCGTCTCATTTTTCTCATTCCAGACGTTTCGTTCTCGTTGCTCCACGTCGAGATGCTGAAAAGGTTCTGCTGATCGACTAAATTGATCATAATATTGGAAATTAAGTCAACAAGAACAGATGCAGCAATCTGAGGAACTAAGTACACCTTCCTCCTCCTCCTCCTCCTCTTCTTCAGAGGACTAAAGTCTCCGATCAGAGAAACTTTGGATTCTGCTGCAATGTTTAATGTAGAATCTGTCTGAGTTCCTGGTCCAGGTTCTCCAGGTTCTCCAGGTGAGCAGGGTTGATCTGTGACACCTGAGCAGGTGAGTGAGTGTCTGCAGTCTCTCCTCAAGGCTGACGTTTCAGACGCTCTGCTTCAGCCAAACCTGAGAGATGAAACTGCTGAAGCAGAGGCTGGAAACCTGCTGATCTACATGAGAAACATCTAGAAAACTTCCACAGACAGACGACCAAACCAGAGTTATGCAAGACTTTATTTCATCTGAAACAATCAAACAGTTTAAACTTCATTTCTTCCTTGAGAATCACTGATTACATACGGAGGTTTGTTCCTCATCTTATTGCAGCTTTGACTTCAGATTTTCTGTCAGTTTCTTTATTTTAAGCCGTAAACAAGAAACAAAGAAAACAACTTAAAAATTTCAGGAGTTCTGGGACTAAACTGGATCAGAACCTGTTATAAGGTTGATCTACGGGACACGAGAAACCCAAAGGAAACACATTGATGACCAGCAGAGGGCGCTCTAGCAGAGGGTGAGGCTGGTGGAGCAGCAGGCCACTTCATAGATAACGCTGATCAGACACAGACCGCCTGCAGACGCAGCCGAGGCGGAGCTGAACACGCTGTCGCCCCCGGTGGCGGTAGAGGGCGGCCCCCCGGTGGCGGTAGAGGGCGGGCCCCCGGTGGCGGTAGAGGGCGGCCCCCCGGTGGCGGTAGAGGGCGGGCCCCCGGTGGCGGTAGAGGGCGGCCCCCCGGTGGCGGTAGAGGGCGGGCCCCCGGTGGCGGTAGAGGGCGGGCCCCCGGTGGCGGTAGAGGGCGGGCCCCCGGTGGCGGTAGAGGGCGGCCCCCCGGTGGCGGTAGAGGGCGGCCCCCCGGTGGCGGTAGAGGGCGGCCCCCCGGTGGCGGTAGAGGGCGGCCCCCCGGTGGCGGTAGAGGGCGGGACGTCCACCACAGAGAAGGTTCTGGACTGGGCGCTCCAGTCCTTCAGAGTGAAGACCATTGTCAGGTTCTCCCCTGCAGAGAGAAGACGGGCCGTTACTGGCGGTGCACCGATTTATCCCTTTGACTTCTAGTCCCGCCCACCAGGCCAGCCCCGCCCACCAGTTCATGGCCAGTCACTGTTGATCGCCAGTAACTTTCTTATTGTTTTTGGAAGAATTTCAGACAAAAACAATTGGCATCGTCCAAAATCAGAATCTGCAGCTCAGGCTCTCTAAACATCGGCGATCGGCCAGAAAACTGCAGTCGGTGCAGCCCTGCCCGTTACCGTGAAGGGTACAGTAGAGTGAGGGGTCAGGGGTCAACTCACCGCTGGTCAGGATGGAGAGGTCGCTGAAGTTGGCCCAGCAGCTGCTGAAGCGGATGGTGGCGTTCCCGTCCAGGCCTCCCACCGGGGCGCCGCTGGCGTTCTTCAGGCCGGCCGTCACGGTGAGCGAGGTCACACCCACCGAGACGCAGTTACCCTGAAACACACACGACCCGTTACCGGGCGGCGGCGCGCTGCCAGGACAAACACTTGCTTTGGTCCAATAGTGATACTAGACAATATTTACTACTCATAAATTTGACATCCAACTGTCTGCATGCAGTTTGCAAGTAGGTTGTTGAAATAGTTTCTCAGTTTTAGATCCTGAAATCTCTCCCCACCAGCAACAGTCAAAGGCAACATGTCAAATAAACATGAAGCAACTCAAGATTCTCAAGAAATACTATGAAGTTGCATTTTATTCAAGCTGCACAATATAACGTTAATTTAACATCTCCATATGTATTAAAGCTGGCAGCATGTCAGATAATCTGTGAAAACAATCAATCTGCTCCACCTGAGCTGCTATTACTGGCTAATGCAACAATCCCACCAAAACAACCAATCAGAACCAGGAGGAGGGTCTTAGCGCTGTCAATCAACTCATTCATTCACTGCTAAATGTGCTAATGGTGGAGAAACAACTTATCGTGATTGCTAGCTACAGCATAGCACAGAGCAAGGGAGGGATGAGCAGCCACATGAGATGCTGATTGGCAGCACTAAAACTCTCCTGTCTCTGATTGGTTGTTTCTAGATATCAGTGGGAGAAAGCAGAGGAAAGAGATGTTTCACAGATTCTTTCTATACCAAACTGTCACAACATGATGACAGTTTGAACAAACATGTAAAATAATCTGTTTTATAAAAGTTACTGCAGCTTTAACTTCCGTCAGCAGAGGAAGGACTAGAGCTGCTGCTGACCGACTCACCTGGTGTCACCTGGTAAAAGTTATCAATATATTGCTCATTTCTTTCCTTCGTTCATTAAGTGCTGGTGAAAAGGAGGCTAACTGTCTGTAGCTAAGCTAACTATGCTAAATGTTGAAAATCTCAGTCTATCCTCCTCGGAGAAAAACTGGGTCATAAATTGACACTCTTGCCTTTTTCTCTATTGCTCTGTCTTTTGAAAACCTTTTCTTAGCAGCTTCCTGCGGTAACGGGCCGAGTCCCGCCCGGTAACGGTAAGTTTCCGGGTTCAGTTGGAATATTTTTGTATATTTTGGCCAACCTCATGAATTTTGAGGAATTTATTAATTTAGGTCAAAAATTCCCTCTGGAATAAATACATTCTCCAAAAATCCTACAACAATCTTGTTCAAATTGAAGCTTTTACCAGAAGCACACTCATCTGAGAATACTTTGATTTATTAATCATTTACATTTTTGTTTATTTTTAACTGTGACGGTGAGGCGACCTGTGACCTGTCCAGGCGACCTGTGACCTGTCCAGGCGACCTGTGACCTGTCCAGGCGACCTGTGACCTGTCCAGGCGACCTGTGACCTGTCCAGGCGACCTGTGACCTGTCCAGGCGACCCCTCCTCTCACCCAGAACGTAGCTGGAGAGGCAGCAGCTCCTACTGACCCCAGCAGGGTCAAGGGTGAACAGACAATGGATGGATTTATTTCTTTATTTGTGCTTCTCTTCCTGTCTGCTAATTGTATTTCTGACAGTTTCCAAAGCTAAAGCTTCAGTCACTGGAGGGAGCAGCTGTTGACTTTCACAATAAGAGCCCCATGCCAGTTCCTATGTTAGCACTGATGTTAGCTTTGCAGCACCAAGATCAGGATCGATTTACTGAACCCGTTCAGAACCGCCTGGTCCAGCTTGTGGACGCGTCTCTGACGTCTCGGCCTGCGGCTGCTCTACTGTTTCTTCTTTGTTCAGTGTTTTTTGGACTTTGTGAAATGTTGTGGTTGCCGCTAGGGGGCGCTCTCATGCCTGAGAAACGTGAAAGATTCAAATTGCAAAGGGAAAATGCTTCTTTCAGGAAATGAAAGAGGGACAAATAAAGAGAAAATAAATGTTGTGCTGCAGTCTGATATTGGAGGATGTAGAAACTAAACCTATGAATGAATGAATGAATCCTCCTGAAGCCTAGCTGCTAAGCTAACTGGGCCCTCCCCAGCTGGAGGTGCTGATCCAGGAGGCGGCTGACCTCACCTGGTCATCCACGGCCATCAGAACCGGCTGCTGGAGCAGCGGACCCACCGCCTCTCCGGCCACCGGATCCCGGATCAGAACCAGCCGCGACACGCTCGCCACGTAGCTCGCCTCGGGTTCCTCTCTGGACGCGTCCTCTGCTGCCACCTGCAGGTGAAACGGGGAGAGTCAGCTCAACCGTCGGCGTCCGGTGCTGCGGCCCGGCCGGTCTGACCCACCTGGCTCCAGAGGGGGTCCGAAGACGCGGGCGGGGGCGGGACGATTCCCACGGAGGAGACGTTGAAGCCGATGGACTGGCTGAGGTTCCCGGAAAGCGCCGCCCGACCCAGATCGTCTGCGATGTTCTTCAGCAGCTCGAAGTCTTCCTCACCTGGAAGAGCAGACGTCATTCCACCTGGTTCCTCAGAGCGCTTAACCCGTTTACCGGACCACTGACCCTCGGTGCCGTTGGCGCTTTGCTGGACCGGAGGTTTCCGGACCTCCACCTCCACCATCAGGTTTCCTGCGCCCTGGCGCCTCCCCACCCCGCCGCCCCGCCCCCTCACACGAGATCATGTTGGCGGGAACTCTGAGGAACAGAGCCAGGTTCTGGACCAGGCTGTCTCCAAAGAACTGGTCCTCGGTGAGGGCGGGCATGTTGAAGGCCAGAACCAGAACCGGGGCGGTCCTGATCTCCAGCGGACCGGAACCTCTCAGCAGAACCTTCAGCATCTTGTAGTCCTGGTCGAAGAAGTTGGTTCCCATGGAGGCGTTCATCTGAGGGACGAACTCGCCTGGAGGCAAATTTACCCAGTTCAGTTCTCAGCTTGATTACATTCGGTTCATCTGGTTGGTATCGGTCCGCAGCACACCTCTGTACGCCGGCGCCCTCAGGACATAGTCGGACCCGTCGGCGTTCCACACGGCGTTGCTCGGGGCGACCAGCCGGTTCTCCACGTAGACGTCCAGCCGCTGAGGGTTGGAGTAGAAGACGGACAGCAGGACGCTCTGCGGGGCGAACACGGAGACAGGAGATGAGACACGGGCGACCTGAAAGCAGCCGGGCGTCCAGAACCCAACGGACCTCAGACGGGTCGGAGTTGAGCATCAGGAGGCGGAGCTTCTGCGGGCTGACGCTGGTGAAGTAGACGTCGAAGGCCAGTCCGGCGGCCATGATGCTGTGGAACAGAGACACTCGGCGCTGGCAGGTGTATCCCGCACACCAACCGTGATCCTGAGGGCCTGCGGCGACAACACACCGTGAAAACCCGGCGTCCAGCCGCCCGACCCGGAAGAACCACCAGAACCGTACCGTTAATCAGATCCACGAAGCCGTCCCCCAGCACGGCCACCGGGGACAGGCGGCGGGTCTCCGTGTCCGAGTCCAGGCTCTCGATCGCCACCATCCGGTAGTTCAGGCCGAAGCACTTGTAGCTCTGCCAGGAGCTCATGTAGGTGCAGTTTTTCCTGATGATCCCTGAATGCACCACAACCAGCCATGAGAGGAAGCCTCGGCGGTCGGGTCGGGTCGGGTCGGGTCTCTCACGCTCCGCTTACCTTTCCGAGGCGCTACCTGCTCCACGGGGATCCGGCTGCCGTTCGGGAACGTCAGCATGACTTTGGGAATGCGGTGGTCGCCCAGCCCCCGGCGGGGGTCTCCTCCCCACTCGAACTCGGACTGCGGCACCACGCTCCCCACCGCGCCCAGGAACGAGCCGTCCAAGTCCTTCAACAAACTCTTCTTCTTGGCATCGCAGTCCATGTCCACACAGTCAGCCGGGTTCGCTTTGCTGAAACACAGACCCACTTCAGTCCACCCATCCAGGAACGGTTCCCAACATTCCCAAAGACTCGGTTCGATTGGCAGCAGCCTGTTCCCCTCCTGGCCTGTGGGGGCGCTGCACCAACAACCACTGCAGGAAACGACACTAAAACCTCTGAAAACACTGAGAGCAACTTCCTGTTTCACCAGATGAAACAAGATGGAGGCGTCAGAGTTTAGTGATTTCTCTTTAGTCTTTGGCTGAAGACCAGGAGCCATTTCTGCTGCTAGCGCTAGGCTAGCATGTTAGCTATGGTTGTAATTACCCAGAATGGATCAAATTTGAGAATTGAGACAGTAAGTTCCCGCGTCGTAACTTGGACATCCTGAACGAGTCGCAGTTCAGGCGTTTGTGCTGCTAAGAAGTACAACTACAACCAAAATGATTTTAAATGTGCAGTGAAGGTATTTTAAATCTATTCCATAGTAAAATTTGGTCTTCCAACAGGATGAAACGATTAACGATTTCATTCTGCAAAGATCACAGCCTCTTTTAAAGTGAAGTCATTTACTAGAGCGATCAAACGTCACAGAAGCCCAACCTTTATGTCGACCTGCTGACATGTGAGATCTGAAGTTGGTCTTTTATTTTCCGCTCAGTTTATCATATCAAACCGTTTAGTTTCTAATGTGTCCAATTATTTTCTTCAGCTTTTCTGCAAACATGAGAAAATAACAAAACGTTGCCATAATGCCGTCGTTTAACTGCAATTGCAGCAATGAATTGTGGGTAGTGCAGTTTGCCAAAGTCTCAGCATGAGTGTGGAAAGAGGACGGAAAATGGGCGGGACTAAAGCAGGAAGTGGACAAGGTGGAACGCAGCCAGAACCGCCTCTGAAGAAAAACAACCTGAGCAGAGGTCAGAGGTCAGGGGTCGCTTACCTCTCAGATGGTTGGGTCTGAACTCACCTCACATCGGGGCGGTGAATGAAGACCTGGGCGTCCTCGGTGCTGTCCAGCATCCTCACGGCCGAAACCTGCAGGGGGTGCTGCAGGTCCTCGTTCAGCGGGTTGGTCATGAACGCGTAGTTCCTCTCTCCGGAGCAGACGCCACGGAAACCGACGAAGGTCGTGTCTGGAGCGGGAAAAGCAGCAATGAGGAGAAAATCCCAGCAGACAGGAACAGGAAGGTTAGCGGGCCGGACCGGGCCGGACCTGTGACCGTCATCAGGCCTTTGATGGCGTTGTAGTTCATGTTCAGGTGATGCGGTTTGGCCGGAGCCGTGTTGTGTCCGGACTGGAAGGTCGGCCAGCAGATTCCGGATCGACCTCCTGCGACAACAGAGACAAGAAGTGAGAAGGCCGCCGGAGCGTCTCCAACAGAACCAGAACCGTCTGCAGTAAATCTTCTGGGTTCCACAGAAACCCAGACAAAACCGATCAGAACCAGTCTTGGTCCCGATCTGGGAACGGCAGACACTTTTTCCTCCACTAGGAATAATCCTGACAGAAGCTCCGATAGGCTCAGTGACCGACCAATCAGAGGCTGAGGAGGCCACACATCCTGCCAGCGCTGCATGTTTCCATGGAAACCAGATGCATCATCAACCTCTGATCCCTCAAAGATGGCGTCAGGTTCAGCAGATCAGCAGCTTGGATCCCGGCTGTAACCCTTAGTGGGAGTTCTTCTCCAAACGAAGGCAGGAAATCCTGGAGGTGGAACGGCTCCGGACCGGAGACGGCTTCCTATTGGCTACTGAGCTGCATGTGCGTCGCGTGTCTCAAGTCTGTTTCTGATTGGTTAATGGCCACCAGGTGGCGACTCCTTCCCTCTGGAAGCTGCAGCCGATTAGTGAAACGCTAAAGTCACATACAACTAATTATTCCATGAATGGAAAATTCGCAAACGGCGGCCAGTCGGTGGAACTCAGACGGCTTGAGGGTCGATATGGACCATCTGGTAGAACCGGTCCGGAAGCGGATCCGAGCCGCCGGTTCTGATGCGGCCTCACCTTGCGGCGGTCTGGGCGCTCGGTGGAGAGACGTGGTGGCGACGTTGAAGTCGTCGGAGCTCAACGTGTCGGAGCAGTTAAAGGCCGGGCTGCTGCCCACGATCAGGGAGTTCTGGGAGGAAACAAAAGATGGAGAACAAACTCCGACCGCAGCCGTCGGCCAATCAGGAAGCAGCTCACCTGAACGTGCACAGACTTATCTGCATAGGCATGAGACAGAGAGGGCGGGGCAAAAACCAGGGGCATGATGCCCATCCCGTTGTCCACCAGCGTCACGTTGGAAACCACCACATCCATGATGACCTGAGGAAGAGATCGGCTCGTGATGCTGCTTCCTGGGATTTCAGCCTCACTTTTACTTTCTATTTTCATACTTTTAGATCAGATCCTGAAAAACAACCACAACAAAACGGCTTCCAAGTAGAAACTGAAGAACTGATATATTTGTTTAACTGAACACACCCAGTGTGAGGATTTAACGTCTGGCAGCAGGAAGAGCAGGAACTCCTAAACATCACGAGAAACTAACGAGAGAGACGGAAAACTTCCTGCATCCGGATCCGCAGTCTGTTTTCCCAACCTGGAAGTAGATGGCGAAGTCAAAGGCCTTCCAGACGAAGAATCCCTGGATGAAGCTGCAGCCAGCCAGGCCGTCCTTGTTGAGGTAGACTCCATACGGACCGCCGTGGGCCTCATTCTGGACCCAGGCCTCGTTCGGGTTCTGGAAGCCTATGGGAGCAGAGGAGTTGATCCGAACGCCGCCCTGCTCCGGGAGGAAACGCTCCGCTCCGACATTCCTTACCTGGGCAAGGCTCGCCATCGATCCGATATGCCACCCTCTCATATCCCGCCACGATGTTGTTCTGCAGCACCACACCAGAGCCCGGGCTCACCTGGACCACAGGAAACACATTGGGAATGTTGGGAAGCTTTCTGAAAGTCCCAGCAGCTGATGGTTTGTTTGACAGGAAGAACCTCGATGGCAGCGTTCCACTGGAAGTTGAAGGGTTCCTCTCTGTCCTGATACGATCCGGGCCACAGAGACATCATCACCAGGTTCCTCCTCAGCACGATCCGATCGCCCCAAACGCGGATTCCTGCACACACGGATTGCCGTCAACCTTCCGAAAGACTGGGAAGCGTTTCCCTCCGCTGTTACCCTGGATTACCTTCGCCCACCGTGTGATGGACAACGTTATCGTCGATGCTCAGACCCGCCGTCCCGAAGACGCCGATGGCCGGAGAGAAACCGTCATGGAAGGCACAGCCCTGGATATACGAGTCGTTCCCCGAAACCTTCACATAAAAATACATTTTCATCTCCTGAACAGCAGGAAATAAAGAAAGACCAACTCTGAACGTCTGGAGAACTACTGATCAGGATCGTTTCAAAGTTCACAGGAACAAGCGGGAGGTTTCAGAGGCTCATCGTGGATCAGAGGAATAAGGACGGTCATTTTATCTGCTGCTGAGGTTTCCTTTCTACTGGAGTGTTGCCGTACCTCTCCCAGGTTGAGGAAAGCCACAGAGTACCGCGGGTCGAAGTAGTCGGTCCAGCCTTCCTGGCCGGAGCGGAAGAACTCCACATTCCTGATCTGGGCTTTACCTTTGGGACGAGCAAGAGAGGACAGACTGAGGGCAGCGTTCACCAGAAACACCATCAAATGTCTCCATGTTTCTCTATCTCGTCCTGACGGACCAGTTCCGACACCTTCTACTTCCTCAGAAAGTTAAATCAGTCAGCTCTACACAGTGGGAAGCATTTTCTGGGTTCCTGAAAGTACTCTGCATGTTCTGGGAAACTAAGTCCAAAGATATTACATGGTGATCTCTGGAAAGTCTGAAAAAGAACCAGAAAAGATTCTGAAACCTGAATTAAAGTTTCAGAAAGTATTGGAAGAAAATCGAAACGTTTCAGAAAGTGCAGTGAACCAGCCATCTGTGGTTTAGATGGTGGTTCTTCTCCATGTTAGTCCGTTCTGTCTCCTTTAAGTCTGCCTGATCTTTCTCATGAGTTCTCAGGATGCTAGCAGGTCATTCTCAGGATGCTAGCAGGTCATTCTCAGGATGCTAGCAGGTCATTCTCAGGATGTTAGCAGGTCATTCTCAGGATGTTAGCAGGTCATTCTCAGGATGCTAGCAGGTCATTCTCAGGATGCTAGCAGGTCATTCTCAGGATGCTAGCAGGTCATTCTCAGGATGTTAGCAGGTCATTCTCAGGATGCTAGCAGGTCGTTGTCAGGATGCTAGCAGGTTGTTGTCAGTATGCTAGCAGGTCATTCTCAGGATGTTAGCAGGTCATTCTCAGGATGCTAGCAGGTCATTCTCAGGATGCTAGCAGGTCGTTGTCAGGATGCTAGCAGATTGTTGTCACGATGCTAGCAGGTCATTCTCAGGATGTTAGCAGGTCATTCTCAGGATGCTAGCAGGTCATTCTCAGGATGCTAGCAGGTCATTCTCAGGATGCTAGCAGGTCGTTGTCAGTATGCTAGCAGGTCATTCTCAGGATGCTAGCAGGTCATTCTCAGGATGGTAGCAGGTCGTTCTCAGGATGCTAGCAGGCCGTTCTCAGGATACTAGCAGGTCATTCTCAGGATGCTAGCAGGTCATTCTCAGGATGGTAGCAGGTTGTTGTCAGGATGCTAGCAGGTTGTTGTCAGGATGCTAGCAGGTTGTTGTCAGTATGCTAGCAGGTCATTCTCAGGATGCTAGCAGGCCGTTCTCAGGATGCTAGCAGGTTGTTGTCAGGATGCTAGCAGGTTGTTGTCAGTATGCTAGCAGGTCATTTTCAGGATGCTAGCAGGTCATTCTCAGGATGCTAGCAGGCCGTTCTCAGGATGCTAGCAGGTTGTTGTCAGGATGCTAGCAGGTTGTTGTCAGTATGCTAGCAGGTCATTCTCATGATCCTAGCAGGCCGTTCTCAGGATGCTAGCAGGTTGTTGTCAGGATGCTAGCAGGTTGTTGTCAGTATGCTAGCAGGTTGTTGTCAGTATGCTGGCAGGTCATTCTCAGGATGTTAGCAGGTCATTCTCAGGATGCTAGCAGGTCATTCTCAGGATGCTAGCAGGTCGTTGTCAGGATGCTAGCAGGTCGTTGTCAGGATGCTAGCAGGTTGTTGTCAGTATGCTAGCAGGCCGTTCTCAGGATACTAGCAGGTCATTCTCAGGATGCTAGCAGGTTGTTGTCAGTATGCTAGCAGGTCATTTTCAGGATGCTAGCAGGCCGTTCTCAGGATACTAGCAGGTCATTCTCAGGATGCTAGCAGGCCGTTCTCAGGATACTAGCAGGTCATTTTCAGGATGCTAGCAGGCCATTCTCAGGATACTAGCAGGTCATTCTCAGGATGCTAGCAGGTCGTTCTCAGGATACTAGCAGGTCATTCTCAGGATGCTAGCAGGTTGTTGTCAGTATGCTAGCAGGTCATTTCAGGATGCTAGCAGGCCGTTCTCAGGATACTAGCAGGTCATTCTCAGGATGCTAGCAGGCCGTTCTCAGGATACTAGCAGGCCATTCTCAGGATACTAGCAGGTCATTCTCAGGATGCTAGCAGGTCGTTCTCAGGATGCTAGCAGTTTGTTGTCAGGATGCTAGCAGGCCGTTGTCAGGATGCTAGCAGGTTGTTGTCAGGATGCTAGCAGGTTGTTGTCAGTATGCTAGCAGGCCGTTCTCAGGATACTAGCGGGTCATTCTCAGGATGCTAGCAGGTCGTTCTCAGGATGCTGGCAGGCCGTTGTCAGGATGCTAGCAGGTTGTTGTCTGGATGCTAGCAGGCCGTTGTCAGGATGCTAGCACGTTGTTGTCAGTATGCTAGCAGGTTGTTGTCAGTATGCTAGCAGGTCATTCTCAGGATGCTAGCAGGCCGTTCTCAGGATGCTAGGCCGTTGTCAGGATGCTAGCAGGCCGTTCTCAGGATGCTAGCAGGTTGTTGTCTGGATGCTAGCAGGCCGTTGTCAGGATGCTAACAGGCCGTTGTCAGGACGCTAGCAGGCCGTTCTCAGGATGCTAGCAGGCCGTTGTCAGGACGCTAGCAGGCCGTTCTCAGGATGCTAGCAGGTCGTTGTCAGGATGCTAGCAGGTCATTCTCAGGATGCTAGCAGGTCGTTGTCAGGATGCTAGCAGGTCATTCTCAGGATGCTAGCAGGCCGTTGTCAGGATGCTAGCAGGCCGTTGTCAGGATGCTAGCAGGCCGTTGTCAGGATGCTAGCAGGCCGTTGTCAGGATGCTAACAGGCCATTGTCAGGACGCTAGCAGTCCGTTCTCAGGATGCTAGCAGGTCGTTGTCAGGATGCTAGCAGGTCGTTGTCAGGATACTAGCAGGTCGTTCTCAGGAACTTTCTTGAACCCTTATCAGGACATACAAGAAGCTACAAGCTAAAGAAGCTGCGTACCTCGATAGCTGACTCCGCCGCTGGAGAAAGTTCCTACCAGCAGCCGAGCACCAAAGGACTCCTCCATCATGGCCGGATACTCCTCGCCGATGATCCGGATGTTCCGGCTCAGGAGGCCAACATCCGCCGCCAGAGTGTAGGAGTAGGACGACCCGGGTACAGAGTGGGTTCCACCTACCAGAACCGAAACCCATCAGAACCTGGCAGGAACCAGCAAATGATCCGATCAGGGGAAAAGGTTCTGAAAGTAACTGACCCAAGTGAGTGTGGTCCAACGGTCGGTTCAGGGTCAGGACGAGGCCGTCGGCTGAAACGGCCGCGATCCGACGTTTCTCCGTCTCCGAGGCTCTGTAGCTGGAGGTGGAGACGACAACCTGGTCTCCAACCTGAACGGCAACCAGAGATGCAGTCAGGACCCGGACCGGAACCAGGACCGGAACCAGGACTGGAACCTGGACCGGAACCTGGACCGGAACCAGGACCGGAACCTGGACCGGAACCCGGACCGGAACCAGGACCGGAACCTGGACCGGAACCTGGACCGGAACCAGGACCGGAAGCTGGACCGGAACCTGGACCGGAACCAGGACCGGAACCTGGACCGGAACCTGGACCGGAACCTGGACCGGAACCTGGACCGGAACCTGGACCGGAACCAGGACCGGAACCTGGACCGGAACCAGGACCGGAACCAGGACCGGAACCTGGACCGGAACCTGGACCGGAACCAGGACCGGAACCAGGACCGGAACCTGGACCGGAACCAGGACCGGAACCAGGACCGGAACCAGGACCCGGACCGGAACCTGGACCGGAACCAGGACCGGAACCAGGACTGGAACCTGGACCGGAACCAGGACCGGAACCTGGACTGGAACCTGGACCGGAACCAGGACCGGAACCTGGACTGGAACCAGGACCGGGACACCACATAGAACCTCCTTAGAAATGGAAAGAGGCTTTCGGGTCGTGTGGTCCTACAGACTGGCTCTGGTTGCTCCACTGCAGCCATGAAGGAGCTCAGACCCAGAAGCTTCTGGACGTCCAACCGGGTCAGAACCTTCAGCACTGCAAGCTGATTCCTCAAGGCTAAACTGGGATTATTTAAATCTGGCTCAGGAGAATTCCAGGTTCCTGTGACCCGGTTGGACTGAATGAGGTCCAAGCAGAACCTGGTTCACATATTCAGGCGAACAGAACCGGCAGTCTGACCTTCCAGTCGACGGGCCGCAGCAGAACCAGCGAGTTGGACCCGGCGGCGGCGGCGGCGGCCAGCTTGGTGTGGTAAACGCCTGGAGGCCGACCGTACAGGTCCAAAGTACCGAACACACCTGCAGAACCACAGGGGAGACAGTCTGACACGAACGGCCGGTTCTGACCCGCTCTGACCCGCTGTACATCCCAAACAGGCAGAACATTGTGAGCCAGAACCAGAACCAGACCAGTTTGGGCTCCAGTCAAAATGTTCAGTTTAGCAAACCGTTTAGTTAGCACAGTTAGCTCTTGAAGTCAACTAGTTCTCCAGTTCATTTAGTTAGTAAATATTTAGTTAGTAAATATTTAGTTAGTAAATATTTAGTTAGTAAATATTTAGTTAGACTTAGAGACTTAGACTTGACTTTATTGATCCCTTGGGAAGACTCCCTCAGGAAATTATAGTTACCAGCAGCTCACAGGCAAAAATGTGGCACACAGTAAGCATACACAAAAGAATACAAATTAAATACAAAACAAAGAATATAAATACAACACAAAAGGAAATTAAAGCAATTTGGTGGATAGATTGACCAGTAAATATTTAGTTAGTAAATATTTAGTTAGTAAATATTTAGTTAGTAAATATTTAGTTAGTAAATATTTAGTTAGTAAATATTTAGCTCATAGCTCTGAGCTAAATATTTAGTTTTTATGTCCAAACTAAGTATTTAGTTTGTTGATCAAATAAATATTTTGAAACTTTTCTTACGATGAAAAAATGTGTTGGAAAAATTCATCTTTATTTTTTTTCTCTCACAAAATAAACAACCCAAATTCTGGCTGTTTATCTCCAACCAGAACAGAACCTGCAGGTCCAGACCCGGTTGTAGGTGCAGAGCTCCGGCCCGGTTTCTCACCCAGGACCTTGGATCCCTGGTTGGTTCCGCCGGGCAGCAGCCAGTCGGGCGAGTCGTGGTTCCCTCGGAGCCGGACCTCCAGCCGACCCTGGAACGGCTCCCGGTCCGACCCGGCCAGCAGCCGGCCGCCCTGCGGAGAAACAGCCGTCAATTCCCTGACCCGACCGGACCGGCCCGGACCCGACCGGACCGGTCTGGACTGGACCGGACTGGACCCGACCCGACCGGACTGGACCGGACTGGCCTGGCCCGGACCGGCCTGGCCCGGACCGGACCGGCCTGGACCGGACCGGCCCCTGGCGCTGTAGACACACGGCCCAGGAACAGCCTCAGGTTCTGATCGGGTCTGGCTGCTGGGCCGGTCCGGTCCCGGTTTGAATCCGGAGCAGACTGGTTGCCATGCCAACCTGAATGGAGACGTAGACGGCGTCGATCGCCAGGGTTCTGTTCGGGGAGTCCAGAACCTCCAGAACCCCGGAGACGGTGAGCCTGCCGAGGGACGGCGTGTCCCGGTCCAGAACGACCCACTTCCCTGTGGAGAGAACCAGGTTCTGATTGGACCAGAAACCAAATAAAATTCACAGATAATCAATCAGATCATGAAGATCAATAAGATTCAATCATGGCGACGGAAAAAAGTTACATTTTATTAACTCATGAAATATTGAGAGTTTTTCTGGCTGCTGGTTGTAAAGAAACGCAGTAAAATTCATTTGGGTCATAAGGGGTCCGGTTGGGTCAGGTCGGGTCGGGTCCGGTTGGTTCGGTCGGGTCGGGTCGGTCAGGTCGGGTTGGGTCAGGTCGGGTTGGGTCAGGCCAGTACCTGAAGGGATGACCACATCAGCGCCATCTGCTGGCACAGTGAAGTTGTTCTCCGCAGAACTTTTCCAGAATGAAGCATCAGACCACAGACTGCAGAAATACACAGACACGCTGTGTTAAAAAGGCTGACGGCAGAACCGGCCTGGCCCGGTTCTGGTCTGAGGTCCAGTTGGACCTACAGGAAGTCGTTGGGTCGGCGGCCGGGGACGGGAGCCGGAGTGGGCGGGGCCGGAGCCACGCACTGATGGAAGAAGCAGCGACGGACGGCCAGGTTCGTTGCAACGTCTGTCATGGAGCGATCTACGCTGCTGCGGCGCCGACGCCCGCTCGTCTTCCCAGAAACTGCAGAAACAGAATGTCTCCCGTTTCAGCCTGAAACATCAGGCGCTGAGGTCGTCCTTTCACTAAACTTTACGACAGAAACTGCTGACTTTACGAAGGGCTAGTCAAATCCAGTCAACTGGGTGGAAATGAAGATGTTAGACTGAGACAGGCACCTTACTGGGTAGCATTAGCTATGGCTAATGGTTAGCATTAGCTAACATGAACATTATCTTCAGCTAATGATAAACATTAGCTTTGGCTAACAGTTGGCGTTAGCTTTGGCTAATTTTTGAATGTGTTTAAAGGCTTAGTGATTGTTAGCTGCAGCTAAAGATGGCTACCAATTTCAGCCAAGCATGTTTTGATACACATCCATGACAACCATCCTGACATCTTGAAAAATGTAACTTTTACCAGTAAATATGATTTCTATATGTTCATTATTTATGATTTGGCATCAAAAGAATTAATCTGTGACAAATGTTCACAAATTTATCATTTTAAATTTAAAATTTCCTTCATGCTGGACACCTTTACTATTGGCCGCCATTTTATATTTTTCTTTTCAAAGAATCAATGCTACAGGGGAAAGTTTGAATTATCTGCAGCACTGAGAGGTCAGAGGTCATCAAACGTGTCTGACTGAGGTAGAAGAGGTGGTTGGTGGTCTTGTTGAAGAACCAGTCTCCGTTGTCGTTGCTGCTGAAGCTCAGCGGCGTGGAGGAGCCGTTCCTGTGGTCCAGGATGTGGAAGCTGTCGGGAGTCTGGGTGAAGTTGTGTCTGATGATGACGAACTGATCCGACTGTGGCAGAGGAGACGGAGCCGTCAGGCGGCGGCGGCGGGGCCTCGCCTCCTCTGGCTGGGTTTTGCCAGGTTTTACCTTGAAGCCGTAGAACTTGGCGTCGTAGGTGATGTTGGTGATGTGGTCGGCGTTGTGGAAGTGCCAGTTGTACGTCTGTCCGGACGGCAGCAGCGCCATCCAGCCGAACTTATGGGTCATCCTCTTCTTCAGGAAAGGAACCACGCTGCTGCCTGAGTTCAACACAACAGCTGTTACTGCAGGTCCCACTCGTCACCAGCAGATGGCAATACAATGTTTATATGAAGTCAACATCATGTTGTGTTATTTTAAATGGCTATCAAGCTACTTTGTAATAGTTCTTGGATATGCTGTTTAAAAAGCGCATCGAGGGACAAGTGGTGCACTTTAGCTCATGCTGTAAGCACCATGACAAGCGTGCAGCTGCTGCTGGATGCAGTTTGGCTCTGCTGTCCAGTGAACCTCATGAACAAATCAAATGAAAAGCAGCAGGGGCTCCGGCGGGACGCTGAGGCCTCAGTACCATGCGAGTTGGTCAGGATGACATCTTTGGCCTGCAGAGAGGTCGGAGTGGGGTTGTTGAACGCCAGGCGATGGAAGTTGACGGTGTGGTCACAGACGGCTGCGGGGAAACCCACGCTCCACTCGGTGCTGTGGGAACAGTGGGCCGGGTCCAGCAGGCTGCTCATCGGCACCACCTTATGGTCTACGTTTCCTGCAATCATGGAGTTCACAACATCAGATGGGTAATTCCTGGTATTCCATTCAGACCTTCTCATGACCTTCGTTAGTGGATTTAATCTGCCAGGTTTCTCAGGATCTTTTAAGGCTTTTCTCCGAGCTTTAGCTGAGAACTCCAAACATCTAAACACAGCGACCAGACCAGACGGTCCCTGAAACCGGGAGAGGGGCAAAGGAAGGCCAGATTGCCTCCAGCAGATGAACAGCATTTCCTCAAAGCTGCTCCACTAAAGCTGCTCTGGGCAAAGCTTGGCGGACTGCAGCCCAACAAACCAAAAACCCAAACATCTTGCTTCTTTTCCACCAACACCATTTTCCATCACACCTTCAGTAGAAAGACATTATTCTATAAAAGACCTCCAACCATTGATGAAGACCACTTCAACAGATTACAGGAAGGTGTGGTTGCCTTGCTGACGACCCTGAACAGCTGCTGGTTGGACCACAGGTTCAGTGGCTGGTACCTGTGAGGGAGCCGTCTGTGTCCACCAGCTGGACTTCATGCTCCCACCTGAATCCGGCCTTGTTGGGGGAGTTTCTGTACTGAATCCCGGCGAACCTGACGGCCCAGCCGCCGCAGCGATCTGTACAAGTCCCATCGATGGAGGTCACTCCGATGGCCGTGCAGTTGCTGCGGTTAAAGTTGACAAACTGGGTATTGAAGACGCTCATGCCGTCATCAAACGGCGTGATGACGCCCCGGTGCGTGCAGTAATCACTGCCGAGGCCGAGTTCATCCACGTGGGCTACGATGGTGCTGTTGGAGACCGTGGCGCCGCCGTCCTCCCCAAAGCCACTCACAGCCCACGGGAAGATGCGCTTGGCCTCAATGCCGGCCTTCTCGTTGTTGACCATGATGAAGTTGTTGAACTGCACGGCGCCGACGTTCACCCACTCGGCGCCTTTCTCGCAGTTCCAGGTGGTCAGGGAGTGGAAGACAGCGGGTTCTGGGGTGGTGGAGGTGCAGTGTCCGTCTTTCATGGGGAAGAATTCTTGAAAGATCCAGAGACCAAACCATCCCTGGGAGTGCACCGTGTTGTTGGAGAACTCGCCGAGGGGAACCCTCTTCTGGCAGATGCTTGGGTCGTACGACGGGCCGTCGGGGTTATTGTGCATGCGGTACCAGAAACCGAAGTGGGTCCCTCCTGCTGCGGCGTTGTGCCGGATGATGTTGTTGGGATTGGTGACCCAGTAGGCAGCAGGGGTGACGTCATCGTTCAGGAGGCTGGTGCTCTGTTTGACGAACACGGCCAGGTTGTACTGCAGAATGTTCTCCGTCTCGATGCCGTCCTCGATGAAGAAGGCTCCGCCCATTATGTCGTAGATGACGTTGTGCTCCACCAGCAGCCGATGGGTGTTGTGGATGGTCACAGCCCTGTTGAAGGTCTGGTGGATAGCGCAGCCCCGGACGTACGATTTGAAGTTGATGTCGCCCATCAGATGCCAGTGGATGGGGTATCGACCGAGCCTGAAGGCCTGACCGGCGTGGAAGATCTGCCAGATCCAGAGAAGATGATGCTCACCAAGACCAATATGGATTTATACGGTAGGTTAGGAAACCAGGAGGCTCAAGAGACATTTCACCTCAACATACTCCAGTCTGCCCAGAGCGAGGTTCTCTCCTGGCCTTGGAGCATGGAACATGATGCAACCACCAAACTGATCGCTGCCGATTTCCTCTCCAAACCTGCCCTGGAAACACGTCTGCGTGGCAAATTCACCTGCAGCCCCGGAAAAGATGAGATTCAGCCCAGAAAACCCAACAAGATGCCAACCGCACATTCAGGACGGCAGTTCCAGGTCTACAGCTGACATCTCAAACTCATGCTGTCTGCACAGAAACATTGAGGCTGTTTCCAACCGGGCCCGATCGGAACCAAAACAGCAACATGTTGCATTTTCAACTGCGGTTCTCTTTCTGACTGCACCGCGTTAAACCAACCAAACCAGTTGAAGAACTTGTTCACACTCCAGTTTGTTTGCCCAGAAAGTCCAGTGTGGTTGGTTGGACTCAGTTTAGTGGGACAGAGAACCGCAGCTGGAAATGGAAGCCATGTTGCTGTTTTGGCCCCGATGGGACTGGGTTTACCGGACCATCAGGTCCTTTGATCCAGGCCAACCTGTGTTGAAGCCGTCGGGACACGCTTCCACCTTGTCGCTCCAGTCGAGGTTCTGGGAACCTCGGACCACGATGTTCCTAGTGAGGAGGCCCACCTCGGCCCGGGCCTCAAACACAGCGCCGTCGGGCAGCGTGGCGGACACGCCCAGATGGGAGAAGGTCAGCGGCTCGGTCAGGGTCAGAGTTCTTCCGCCGGCTGACACGGCGGCGATGGTTCTCACCTCGTTCTCTCTCTGGCTGTGCCTGGAAGCAGAAACTGAGATTTCAACCGGCTGCCGAAACCTCAAGACATCAGAACCTCTGAGGCCTCAGAACACAAGAACAAACGGAAACCGGTTCATTGAGGTTCTGCTCCCACCACAGCACTTCTTCCTGCTTCAAGCCTTTGACTAGGCCATTGTAGCACCTTGTTCTGTTGGTGACCCAGTTTGGACAGTCGAGACAGCAGATAAGCTGATAACGTGGGTTTATTCCACAAAGTACTCTAGAGCCAGAGGACATTGTCCCAGCGCTCTCGTCCTCCATCAGGTGCTGCTCTGTTGATGTCAGACTGGCGGCCATCTTGTTTCCAGAGAGTAGAGGCTGTATCTGCCGGGTCGTTCTCAGCTCACTTGCATCTTTTCGTCTGGGATTCATCCTTCTTAATGTTCTGATTTATTATTATTTTCAATTTTCATATTTTTATACTATTTTTTAGTATTGCTAACTGTTAGAAATAAAAACGTTACCATGAGAATAAGATTCTTCTCTGGAGGCTGACAGATCTCAGATGGTTTGGAGGTGACCTTTGACCCTGGTTCAGAAACGTTGCCTGAGGGGCGGAGCTCTTACCGGTGGCCGGTGGAGGCGATGACTACCTCCTCTCCGGGCTTCCAGGTCACGGCCTCCATCAGCGTCAGCGTGGCGGAGCCGTTGGCGGCGGTCTGGGCGAGGCGTGTCCAGGTGACGGGAACGGGAATACCTGGACAAACAGGTCGTCAACAATGTCTCATTGGAAAAGAAGGATGAGTTGTGATGGTGCTGGAGGTTAGAAAACTCAGACGACTGGGAGTAACTGGAGCTGGGCGAATTAATGTGGGGGATTTCTAACAGTTTCCCTTCAGAGCAGCAGATTCTGCAGACCTGCAGCTAAACGCTGAAGCAGCAGGAAGTGAGAAACTGCAAAAAATCTGCGACATATGAGAAAGAATCAAACTTTGTTCTGAATCTACATTGATTTTATTTTCCATTAAAGAGAAAATCCATATGAATAATATGAATAACGACAATATGCTGCAAGATATTAAAACTAGACGCAACATGGGCGACTCTGGCTGTGTGCTAGAGTAGGAGTCTTGCGATCGGACGGTTGTAGGTTCAATTCCAGCTTCCTCCTGCCACATGTCAATGTGCCTCTGAGCAAAGCACTTAGCCTCAAATTGCCTAGCGATCTGCGTATCGGTGTGTAAATGTTCGTTTGTGAGTGTGACTCTAGTGTAAAGTGCTTTGAGTGGCCAAAATGACTGGAAACGCTCTAGAAGTTTGGAGAAACTGTTAAACTGCGCCCCTGCTGTTCAGAGTAATAATGGCACTGAAAGATGTGATTTTATTATTTTATTGTAACATTTTCATAAATCCTGCTGGGCATTCATACCATGGAGGTCTAAGACGCCCTCTCTGACGGCCAGCGTCTTGGATCCATAAACAGGAAGTTCAGGAGAGCGCAGGTGGCCATGGAGTGTGATAATGGCCTTGTGCTGGAAGGGCGCCCCCTGCTGGCCAATCCGAAGCCGCCCTCCGTCTGTGATGAGGATGTTCTCCGCCTGCAGCTCCAGGTCGGCCTCGTCAAACATCAGCGTTCCTCCTGAGGAGAGCAGCAGGTTCAGCCCAGAGCAGGTCTCTGCTTTCATCGGAGGAACGCAAACTCTGCCCACCCTGGATGAGGAGCATCTTCAGCACCGGCGTGCTGGTGTCCAGCAGCACCGTCTGACCTTTAGCGATGACCACCAACGAGCCGCGCTCAGGGGGGGGCAGGCCCCCCCAGGTGAACCGGGACGACCAAACGTCCACATACAGGAAGTTGACCGCGTCCTGCAGAGACGCAGAGAAGACAAGGTTCCTCCTGCAGAACGAATCCTGGTGCTGTGTGTGTGTGTGTGTGTGTGTGTGTGTGTGTGTGTGTGTCTGTCTGTCTGTCTGTGTGTGTGTGTGTGTGTGTGTGCGGTTACCATCTTGGCGACGCCGCGGTCTCCGATGCTGACCCTGACCTGTGTCTCCTGAGAGCGCTGCTGGGCGCTCGTCACGCAGACGATGTGAGTCATGTTGGAGGATCGAACGTCGCACGGCGAGCCGCCGATCGTCACGTTGACGCCGTCCAACCTGGAGCTGAGAAACGACGGGCGGGGCAAACGTTGGACAGGACATGTCCTCTATGTTTCAAAGAGCTGCTGAGGGAAACTCTTCTCACCTGAAGCCCGAGCCGCTGATGGTGAGCCGCGTGCCGCCGGCCGTCCCTCCTCGCCGCGGAGACACCTGGGTGACGACGGGCGTCAGGGCGTCCCTGTAGGTGAAGCCCTGAGAGACGTTGACGGCGTCCAGCAGGTTGAGGACGGAAACACGGCAGGCGACCGCCGAGTCGGAGCCTGAGGACAGACTGAAGTCAGGGCCAGACACGGTCTGTCCAGGGGCCGCAGACGGCCCCCGCTCCGCGCTTTGGACAGCCTGAACCGGGCTCCTCGTTACTGCGGCAGAGCCACCTTTATGGCCGTGAGGGTTGGTATGGTAACAGTGGGAGCTGACCGTCGTTGGGCGGAGACAGGCAGAAGAGGCGGGAGGACGAGGACGCTCCTCTGAGGACGGGACAGTCCCGGTCACAGATCAGAACTCTGGAGCCGATCGGATCGAACCCGGAACCGAAGACGGAGAGCAGAGCGCCGCCGCCGAAGCTCCCTGCAGCGCCGAGAGAAAGGTCAGAGTTCAACAAACTGCTTTAATCAAAACCCATTTGAAGGAAACTGCGAGCAGAGCCGACCTCTTCGGACTTCCTGTTTAAACTCGTTTGTCTTTGATTTCTGATCAGAACTGCTTCTCATTCTTCTAATTGTCTTTTTCGCTCCATTTTCACATTTTGTCACATCCATCAGCTAACATGTCCTGCTCTGCCGTCAGTCTCCGCTCCAGTTCCGTCCTCACCTTCGTTGGGCCGCACGCCGCTGAGCGTCAGCTCGTAAGTGAACTCCACTGCCGACTGGGCGCGACCTTTGACCCCATGATGCAGGACGACCGGATAGGTGCCGCCCGGGTTGCTTCCCGTCGTGCAGCGGAGCTGAGAGTCGGAGACGGCCGACACGTTGCAGGAAACGCCGTTGATGGTGACGGAGACGAGCTCGGAGTCAGAACCGAAGCCCGATCCGCCGAGCGTGATGACGGCGCCGCTCGGCCCTGCAGGAAGCAAGAACAGCTCAGAGGCTGAAGTTGGTGTTTGGTTTGGACCAGAACTTTCAAGTGTTCATTTCTAATCACACAGATTTAATGCCTTAAATCTTGAACACAGTTAAACAAATGAAGTTTTCCAACATGGAAACGCCCCGAGCAGGAACCTTTGTGTTTCTGCTACGCTGCACATCTGAGCCACATCCCTAGCAGCAGCAGCTGTTTTTGAATTGAAAATATGAATTTTATGAATGCATATTTCGATTAATTGCAATTGTTTGATATTTTTGCGGCTGGTTTTGGATCGTTGCTAGTGTGCGGGTACCGGTGTGGGGGCTGATGGCGCTGAGGACCGGGGTCTGGGCTGCAGAGTAGTTGAAGCTGAGCGGAGGGAAGGTGACGGCGAACACCTGGACGCTGACGGCGGCCGGACCCTCGGGGTGAGCGGGGCTGAGGCAGAGCAGCGTGTCTGGAGTCTGGTCCTGGATGCTGCAGGGTTTCCCGCCCACCGTCACGCTGGTGTTCCCCGGAGCAAAGCCGTTCCCGGTGAGGACGAGCGGCGTCCCCCCGGCGAGGCTTCCGGCGCCGGGCCGCAGCGCGGCCAGCGGGCGGCTGCTGAGGGTCGGCTGGCCGGACGCCAGGCCTCTGCTCCTCACCAGCAGCCGGACCGGGTGGTCTCCTGCCGGCAGCGCGCCGACCCGCACCGTCGCGTTCCCGTCGCTCACTGCCGCCGGCCGCAGAGGCGTGGAGCCCACCAGGACCGACACGTCGTCCACGATGCTGCCAAAGCCGGAGCCGGAGACCAGGACGTCGGTCGGGCCGCTGATGCTGCTGGGCGAGACGCCGCTGATGCTGGGGGTGACGGCGGAGGAGAACCGGAAGGAGCAGAGGGAGGAGCAGGAGCTCTGGATCTGGCCCAGGTGGAACACCACGTCCCCGGAGCGCTGCGGCGACGGCGCCGTGTCGCACAGGATGTGGGTGTAGTTCAGCGCCACGAAGGTGCAGGACACGCCCGCCACCGTCACGCCGCCTTTTGAGAACCCTGAGCCACCGATCTGGAGCCGGGTGTAGCCGGTGGTGCTGCCAACAGGGGGCGCCACCGAATCGACCACCGGCAGGACCACGAAGCGACGCTTCAGCTCATCAGAGATGGCGACGATGGCGGCGCCCATGTTGTTGACTCTGACGGAGACGGGCAGAGCGACGCCGACGGGAAGCTCTGAGCCGGAGCCGAGCCGGCAGCTGATTCCGGACCAGGAGCTGTTGGTCACATGACACGGCTCACTGCCAACCGTCACCTGCAAGACCACAGGATGCACGATTAATCATCAAAGAATCGATTATTCCATTGATTTCTAAAACAATCGAGAGCCGCAGCCCTGATTAGACTCAAGCTTCCCGGCGCGGGAGAGGCTCCTCCCCCGTGACCCCACGACCCCGCTGACCTCGTTAGCGCAGGTGACGTCACTGAAGCCTTGTCCCTGGATGTGGATCAGCTGGTGGTAGGAGCCCTGGTTGGGGGAGATGGAGCGGACGGTGGGGGTGGAGCAGGCGGAGAAGCTGAAGGAAGGACCGTCTGAAGTCTGATTGGCTGGTAGGCAGCGTGTGGACGCCACGCAGTCTGCTGCTGATCTGGAGACTCTGGGTGAACCTGCAGCCACACCTTCATCATCAGCCTCCTCATCTTCCTCTGGGCCTTCTTCATGTCTGAAACATTTACCTTCTGGCAGATATCTGGCCAGAACGCCTCCCACTCTGACGGAGACGTCGGCGATCTCGTCCTCCCGACTCAGGACCTTCACGACGCCCTGCATCAGGATGGAGGCGCTGACGTAGCCGCTGCTGTAGTAGTACGTTCCGGGGACGGTGAAACGGTAGCTGAAGATCCCTGAGCAGGAAGTATGGAGAGGATCCGGGTCACATCGGCAGACAGATGGCATGCAGAGCAGTGAGAAAGAAAACTCTAAATGAAGGAAAGTCTGGACCACAGGAAGGAGAAGCGGAGCAGTGAGGACTCATCAGAATCTGTTCTGCGTTTTCATGTTTCCACCTTCAGCAGTTCGGGCCTCGCCGCTGTTCAGAGCTCCTCCTTCATACTGGGAGCCGCTGGGACTGGAAACGCTGAAGACTCGGAACCCGACGCTCTGGAAGGCCGGCGCCTCCCACCGCCACCTCACTGTGTCGCCAACAAACACTCGCAGCGAAGACGGGCTCCAAGCGTATCCGGGTCCATAAACTGCAACACAGACAAACACGTTGGTCCCACCTGGACCTGAGGAGCTCCAGGTCCAGAAGGCTTTCGTTCCAGGGAACGTACTGAGGTGGGAGCCCTGGTTGGTGACGACGTGCGTCTTCTCCTCTGACTGAACGGTGCAGAGCAGCTGGTTCTCCGAGGCGGACGCCACCTCACAGGCTCTGCTTCCTGTCGCACAGCGAGCGCCGGACGGGTCATCAGCAATCTCGCCATCGCTGCTGCAGCAGGCGGGAAACAGACTGACACTCACCAACAGAAACCTGGACGTTAGCCGTGTTGTTGCCGAAACCGGAACCAGAAACCGTCAGCATGGTTCCTCCCATCAAAGAGCCGGTCGGTGGGGAAACGCTGTAAACTTCCAGGATGTATTCGATGCTGGTGTTGACGCTGGAGAGGAGGAACCGTCTGAGTCAGGATTAAAACACACATTTGGCTGCATTTCTGGAGAACCTTTAGCATCAGCTGCTAACGCAGCTGCTAATGCTCCAGAGAGCGATGCACAGTACCAGGATGATTCACTGCTGATGTCCAGGACACAAGAACTGAGAAATATTCCCAAACTACATAGATTATTTTTAGTTAAGAAATTTGGAATCAAGAAATCCCCATCTCCATCATCTCTCATCTCCTCTCCTTATATGCTTCAAGAATCGAAGAACTTCTTGCCATTAATGGGCCTTACAGTCGTAACACTAATTGTGTCAGTTAATGAATTAAAACCAATAAATTTATAGTTAATTTAGCTTTTTTTACATTTACTGAATATTTAAATATTATTTTCAGAGTTGATGATCAACCCAAACTTCTCCAAAGTCAAATACAGTGAACCTCGTCATTCCTCTCTAGTCCCACTAAGAACTACTTCCTATAAGTAAATGTTTAAGTTACATATTAATTAAACATAAACTGGATCCAATAATTTTCCTTTGAGCTGATGTTTCCGGTCAAATAATATTTTTAGAAAGACTGGTTTTACTTGGAGACAGGCCGCTGGTACTGCAGGTTCTGCTTGGATCGGAACCGGTGTGTGTACCTGGCCCGGGGGAACCCTCTGTTCCCCACCTGCACCTCCACCCGGTAGACAGCAGGGGGCAGCACAGGCAGGTGGCAGCTTATTTCCGTCTCGCTCCACTGGGTGATGGCACACTCTTTCGCTCCAACAAACACAGCGCTGTCGTTGCTCCCGCCTCCAAGATTTGAACCCCGGATAGTGAGAAGCTGATCTCCTGAACAGCAGAAGAAGAAACCGATCAGACTGGCTTCTGATGCTTATTGCTTTATTAAGGCGTCATGTTAGCATTAGGGCGTCATGTTAGCATTAAGGCGTCATGTTAGCATTAGGGCGTCATGTTAGCATTAAGGTGTCATGTTAGCATTAAGGTGTCATGTTAGCATTAAGGTGTCATGTTAGCATTAAGGCGTCATGTTAGCATTAGGGCGTCATGTTAGCATTAAGGTGTCATGTTAGCATTAAGGTGTCATGTTAGCATTAAGGTGTCATGTTAGCATTAAGGCGTCATGTTAGCATTAAGGTGTCATGTTAGCATTAAGGCGTCATGTTAGCATTAGGGCGTCATGTTAGCATTAAGGTGTCATGTTAGCATTAAGGTGTCATGTTAGCATTAAGGCGTCATGTTAGCATTAAGGTGTCATGTTAGCATTAAGGTGTCATGTTAGCATTAAGGCGTCATGTTAGCATTAAGGTGTCATGTTAGCATTAAGGTGTCATGTTAGCATTAAGGCGTCATGTTAGCATTAAGGTGTCATGTTAGCATTAAGGTGTCATGTTAGCATTAAGGTGTCATGTTAGCATTAAGGTGTCATGTTAGCATTAAGGTGTCATGTTAGCATTAAGGTGTCATGTTAGCATTAAGGTGTCATGTTAGCATTAAGGTGTCATGTTAGCATTAAGGTGTCATGTTAGCATTAAGGCGTCATGTTAGCATTAGGGCGTCATGTTAGCATTAAGGTGTCATGTTAGCATTAAGGTGTCATGTTAGCATTAAGGCGTCATGTTAGCATTAAGGTGTCATGTTAGCATTAAGGTGTCATGTTAGCATTAAGGCGTCATGTTAGCATTAAGGTGTCATGTTAGCATTAAGGTGTCATGTTAGCATTAAGGCGTCATGTTAGCATTAAGGTGTCATGTTAGCATTAAGGTGTCATGTTAGCATTAAGGTGTCATGTTAGCATTAAGGTGTCATGTTAGCATTAAGGTGTCATGTTAGCATTAAGGTGTCATGTTAGCATTAAGGTGTCATGTTAGCATTAAGGTGTCATGTTAGCATTAAGGTGTCATGTTAGCATTAAGGTGTCATGTTAGCATTAAGGTGTCATGTTAGCATTAAGGCGTCATGTTAGCATTAGGGCGTCATGTTAGCATTAAGGTGTCATGTTAGCATTAAGGCGTCATGTTAGCATTAGGGCGTCATGTTAGCATTAAGGTGTCATGTTAGCATTAAGGTGTCATGTTAGCATTAAGGTGTCATGTTAGCATTAAGGTGTCATGTTAGCATTAAGGTGTCATGTTAGCATTAAGGTGTCATGTTAGCATTAAGGTGTCATGTTAGCATTAAGGTGTCATGTTAGCATTAAGGTGTCATGTTAGCATTAAGGTGTCATGTTGCTGCTGGCTGGCAGCTGCTGTTATTACAGGATTACAGTTTGTCTCATGGGATCATCTCAACAAAAGGCAGAAACTTGCAGGTCAACATTGCAGCTGCAGGACAAAAGAAAAATGGAAACAAAATGTTCCCAGGTGGCTCAAAGTGACAGGCAGAGACACAAAACATTCACGAAGTGAGGGAAAATCCTTTAATGACGGTGGGTGAAGCTGCAGCTTTCTTCTCACTCACACATAAAGCCAGCTTTGTTTTCATGTCAGACAAAGATACGGTGGCCTGTTGGCCTGCAGCAGCAGCAGCAGCTGCTGCAGCAGCTCCAGCAGCAGTTCCAGCTCCAGCAGCAGCAGCAGCAGCTGCAGCAGCTCCAGCAGCAGTTCCAGCTCCAGCAGCAGCAGCAGCTCCAGCAGCAGCAGCAGCTCCAGCTCCAGCAGCAGCACGATGCTGTAAAGCCTTCCTCCTCCTCACCAGAGAGCAGGACTCACCTGTCACAACGGCGGTCTGAGGACTCAGGCTCCAGATTTGAGCTGTGAGGTCGTCATCGTAGGTGAAGGTGGCGTTCGCGGTCTGGGTCATGTTTCCCACCGTTACCATGACAGCCCGTGACCCCGCAGGTCCCTAGAAGACAAAGCTGCAGCTGGTCTAACTTTACAAGGACCAAACAGTCAGCCTTGACTTGCGATGTTAAGATTAGATCTGAAACTTGTGGAGACGCATCGGGTCAGTCAGACGGCGCCCAGCACCAAACGTACCGCCGGGGTTCTGCAGGTCAGCTCGGTGTCGGTCGCCCGGACGACCTCGCAGTCCTCGCCGCCCACCGTTACCGTGGCGACACGTCCGAGGCCGAAGCCGCTCACCGTCAGCAGGGTGCCTCCTGGGCAGGAAGTCAGAATGAAGACGCCGAAGCTGCAGGTGAGCAACAGTCAGGCGCCACACACCTGCAGTGCCTCCAGAGGTCGGCGAGAGCGAAGACACGACGAGCTGCTGGGTGAAGTAGAGGACGCGGTCGGCGGCGAAGCGCGCGTCGCCCACAGATGGGAAGTTAACAGACAGTGGGTAGCTTCCTGCGCTGGCTCCGCCCACTCTGCACACCTGAGAGGAAGCTAGAACACATCAAGTTCAGTTGCTGGAGCCAGAGTCAGAAACGAACCATTCCACTGGACCTATAGGGGTCCAAACGTGCCAAAAAGAAAGCCTAACTCCTCGTCTCTTGCAGGAAGCGTTTCCTCACCTGTGACCTCTTCCACGACACACCTGGAGCTTCCCACCACGATGGAAGCATTTTCCCAGCTGAATCCCGTCCCAGTGATAGTGATCAGCGTTCCCAGTCCGTCGGATCCTGGAAGGGTCAGGAATATTAGTCCAGGTGGAAGTTTCTTTCCTCACTGGGAAAGCTGCTAAGATCTTCTATTCACATTTCCGAAGAGGACCAGGCGGAGTTGGTAACAATCTGGGGTTTATAGAAATTTTCTGGGGAAAGAGATTTCCCATAAAAGTAAACTTTGAAGCTGGATCAAAAGAAACCAAAATGGAGCCGAAGGAAGTTTGACTATTATTTAGAAAGACAGATTTCCATCACACACGGTAATTACAGCGTTCCCCATTTAAGGTGGTACATGAGGATAGATGCAGAGTCCAGGTGATTTTGTTAAATGTTGATATTGAGTTTTATTTATATTAATTTTATAACCCAAAATTAAACTAAACTCTTCAAGTAACTTCATCAGTTTGGGGATCGTCTGTGTTATACTGATCAATAAATCGACAGCAAACAGTTTCTGCTCCCCAGACGTCACTGTGACCTCTGACCTCTCCCTAATCAGCTGACCCAGGGGCTCAATAACGAGTTGGTCAGATCTCCATTCATTTTAGTGTAACGATTTGAATGCATCAGTTATTGTTGCATGAAATCCAGATTTGGAGGAACTTTGGGATCCTCAGCATCTCGGCTTCATATCAGCATCTCCAGTTTGCTGAGTGTTTCCTGTCAGGATGTTTCCTCATGGCGTCTCGGGTCGGTCTGCGTCTAACTGAGCCAGTCTGGTCTTTATGCATTAAAGCTGTAAAATGACTCTGTTCTGTTGGACAACATGGAGGTGAAGCGTTAATAATCATTGTTTAGGAGACGATAACTCCCACATTCCAGTTTCTCTCCCTCCTTGGGTCCGACTGAATCACCGCCATGACGGGATCGTTTTATTTTCTGGATGTAGTTGAATGTTTTCTCTAATGTAGGAATCAGCTGCATCATTTCATACCATTCTGTGGTGAATCCATCTGTCCCTGCAGTGGTGCGATCTCCTCCCCTCTTTCACTCATCATGTTGTGTTCAGTATTAGATTCTGTGGGGGAATTTCTCTGATCCCTCCGGTTCAACCAGGAGCCACCATTGTGATGCTGATTTATCTGTTTCATGACTTTAATCCTGTATTTTGTCCACTCACTGTCATACAGCATCATTCTCAAAATATTATGACTTTTTTCTCATATTTAATTTACTTTTTATCTGTCCCATAAAAACAGATTTTAGATGTTTTGAAGTATATTTAGGACCAGTCGGAGGTAAATCTGCTCACTGTCCATGTTTCATGATTCTCTATGTGACCCCGGAGCCCTGACCCCACCTGCTGCTGCAGGGACCCACCTTGAGTCGGGCTGATCCCCGTCACCACCGGCGTCTCCTCCTCCGACCAGCGGAAGCTGCAGCGTCCGGAGCAGTTGGAGGGAATGCCGTTGATGTAGACCTCCACCTGCAGAGCAGCACACCTGTCTGAAACACTGCAGTTGGCCAAAGCGATCAGTTTAATGTTCTCTGAAGGCCCAACAGTCGGATCACAGTTGGTGAACACAAACAGGCTCCAGCCGCACCTGCGGCTCTGCTTCCAAAACCCGGAAGAAGTCCCCGGTCAAGCCCCGGGTCAGCAGCCCGCCCTTCGCCTTCTCCTGGACCACAAAGCTCACGTTGTTCCCGATGACTGCCGAGTCGTCGACCTGGAGGGAAATGAAGAACTCGTTCCTGCTCCGGCTTCGTGTTTCAGACAGATTTTACGTCCCAGACTGATTAGACCTTCATGAGCGGCTGGGATCCAGGCCTGCTGAGCCAGGTGACCCTCCACTTGGGAAGCCTGCAGGTGCCCAGGTCCTCCACCTTCACCTGGCCCACCCCAGGGACGCCCTGCAGGGCGAACTTCAGATCCTCCGCGCTGATGTTCACAGGGAGCCCTGGAGGCACAGGGGAGATACCAGGTTAGCATGGTTAGCATGGTCAGACTACAGGATGTGTTTTTTTCAGTCTGGGAGCCGATGAAGGGTTTGCATTTAATCTGCTGAGGAGAACCAGATCAGTAAATGATTTAAAGTGCAGCTTCTGTTTAAAGTTCTGGCGCCAGTCCAGCTCCTGTCATCAGTTTGACACCTGGAGAAAAACTCCGACGCCCTCCAGGACTTGACGTTCCTGTTCTGTGTCTCCATCTTTGTTGTGACTAGATTATGTGGCGTCGGGTAGAGGATGTATCTGGGAACTCCCAGCTCGCTCTACAGATCAGTGGATTCCGGGTCGGCGCTCAGCTACCTTCTGCCCGGCTGCTGTACATCTCAACATCAAAGGTGCCGCTCAGAGGGGGCGTGGCTCTGCGGGGCCGGACCACGGTGACTGTGGCGTCTCCGGAAACGAACTCGGCGACGTCCTCACTGCTGTTGGACATCTTTAGACACACAGAGAAGAAGAAGCAAGTTAAATCATAGCCAACCTTGCTTCCTGAACAGGTCAGGGTCAGTCTGTGGCCTATGCAAAACATGATCTTCACATTTTTACACTAAATCAGATAATCACATTTCAGTTCTGCCTATCTTCAGATGTTTTAGGGTCTCTATGATGTCAAATCCAAACAAGCTGCTTCAGGCCCCACCCTGAAGTAAAAGTAAACAGCAGCTAAACAGAAACCAACCAGAAACCTGGAACCAACCAGAAACCTGGAACCAACCAGAAACCTGGAACCAACCAGAAACCTGGAACCAACCAGAAACCTGGAACCAACCAGAAACCTGGAACCAACCAGAAACCTGGAACCAACCAGAAACCTGGAACCAACCAGAAACCTGGAACCAACCAGAAACCTGGAACCAACCAGAAACCTGGAACCAACCAGAAACCTGGAACCAACCAGAAACCTGGAACCAACCAGAAACCTGGAACCAACCAGAAACTACCTGCATGAAACTGACTGCCATCAGAGGGAAGTCGAAGGCGCAGTCCAGCGGCGTAGCAACGATCCTGTAGGTGACCTGAGAAGCGGTGGGTTGGTGTTTGGTGACAGAGAACGATTGGACGGACTTCCCAGAATCCTCGAAGGGAGGAGGTCTTCTTCTGAGGAGAACAGCTGGGAAACGACAGGAGATACAAAGAGTCACTAAGTTCCTTACGAAGACCAGAGCTCCCAGTCTGGTTTAACTTCACACCAGCTGAACTAGGAGGAAGTTTGACCCGCACCGTTCTCGTCCATGGCAGTCGGAGTCTTCCCAATACGAACTGCATCCACGTAGTAGTCTGTGGCGGAGGAGTCTCTGTAGAGAAGCAGCTCCTGCAGGAGGAACCTGCTGCCGACCACGGCAGTCTGAAGGGCGCTCTGAAGATCGACGCACTTATATCTCCACCTGAGGGAAAACCATGAGCCTCAGAGCCCACAGAGGCGCCACGGCCTCTTCCTCTGCGCACTCATTACCTGTCCCCCCTGCTGAACACGGTGCTGATCCTGGAGGTCTGGGTCTGGGTCTGACCGCTGCTGTCGCTGTAGCTGAACTTCACCCCCATCTCGTCCCTCAGACGTCCCTTATAGGCAAAGCAGAGCTGGGGAGACAGAGGAAAGGCTTCTGACACCTGGAGGACTTCAGGGTCTCTCCTATACTTGGCACGGTTTTTGATCTAAGCCTCTGAGGAGACAATTTGACGGTTTCCTTGTGTTTTTCAAATGTGGGAAGTGTTCTGATCAAAGTATTTGTCCGTCCGTCTTACAGCGGGATGCTGGTCCAGGGACACCGGTCCATACTGTCCTCCGGACTCTTTGGTGAAGGTTTCCCTGAACAGAGCGTCGGCGTTCTTCAGTGACCAGAACCCGCAGAACCCGGAGTGGCCCTCAGGAGTCCCACTCTGAGCGGCGGTGAACTGTGGAGGTCAGAGGTCAGTCAGGGCTCAGTTGGACAGCGTCAGCAGGTCTCACGCCTGATGACACATTGCTTCACTTTGTCCACTGACCTCAGGGTCCTCAAAGTCGTTGAAGTACTTGACGTTGGAGCCCTGAGTGGTCAGAACCTCGGCGGGACAGTCAGCCTTCATCAGGTCCTCCAGGACGGACTGGACCTGCACCGAAACACAACCGGAGACAAAATGGAGACCAGATCTGGCTCTGACGTCCATCAGGTGGACAGGTACGGACCTCAGACGCAGTGGCGTTGAAGGCGACGGGTGCCGCAGGAAGCCCAGCCCAACTCAGAGTGAAGGCCGCCATGTTGCTTTGACCCTTGGTGACCTCTGAGACGGAGATGTTGGTGTCTGAGCCAAAGACCTCAAAGTTCAGAGGGGCAAAGTCACCTGGCAGAGGAGGACAAAGGTTTCCATCAATTATCGTAGCTTAGATGCTTAAAATGGCCGTTGAGCACAAACTGTTCTGGTCCCGACTGACAGCTGAGAAGCTCTCGGCTCTTTCTCATGGCGCCGAGTACGGAGGGACAGCGCCAGGAGTACAAGGGTTACAAGTTTTGATAAGAAAGATATGAAGTCCTGCTTTCAAAATGAAAATGTAAGCAAAAGCATTTCAGGTTTTGAGAACAAAAGATATGAAATCCTGTTTTCAGACTGAATATGTGTGCTCTTGGATTATGGCAAGAACATTCCTCCATAGCTGAGGAACTCCATCCGATCGCAGCCTGAAGGCCACTGAAGGTCTGGCTGGGTCCTCCGTGTTGGAGCCTCTTAAAGGAGCAGTGACCCGCTGACCGATTCCCCAGATCCCTGTGATTGGACAGTGTGTTGTCCAATCACACTGAACTTCTGTCCATTTCTTTGAATTTCCCCTCTGAGGGGCAAAAATAACCATCCTAACATCAGATGGTTATTACATCACCATGAAAAGGCTAGCTTAGCAACTGAACACTGCTCTGACCACCAGCTGCTTGGGCTTAAGTTCCCATCTCTTCTTTAGTTTCCCAAACTCGGAGCAGTGCTGCAGCCAGGAGCTGAGGATGTTGGCTGAACTCTGATCACTCAGACAGGAACGTATTCAAACCCGCTGGAGCGGCTGGAGCTGTTCGCTCCCTGGAAGTGACTCTGCAGTCTGAACGTGTCATTCTGCCACTTGCTTTGACCTCCCACCTCTGTCAGAGTTGAAGGTGAGGGTGTAGTGAGACCCCTGGCCGTCCTCCTGCTTGGTGACATTGACGCTGTCAGGCTTGATGGACCACAGGTTGTTCAGAGCCGCCTGTAGCTCCTCCGCTGAGGCGCTGACAGGGACGGGTCCTGCAGGAGAAAACAGCAAACTGTCAGGAGTTTCACTGGCACAGGGCCGGCGAGAGGGCGGCTGGCGAGAGGGCGGCCGGCGAGGGCGGCAGGCCGGCGAGAGGGCGGCAGGCCGGCGAGAGGGCGGCAGGCGAGAGGGCGGCAGGCGAGAGGGCGGCAGGCGAGGGGGCGGCAGGCCGGCGAGAGGGCGGCTGGCGAGAGGGCGGCCGGCGAGAGGGCGGCAGGCGAGAGGGCGGCAGGCCGGCGAGAGGGCGGCCGGCGAGAGGCGGCCGGCGAGAGGGCGGCAGGCCGGCGAGAGGGCGGCAGGCCGGCGAGAGGGCGGCAGGCCGGCGAGAGGGCGGCCGGCGAGAGGGTGGCGGGCCGGCGAGAGGGCGGCAGGCGAGAGGGCGGCTGGCCGGCGAGAGGGCGGCTGGTGAGAGGGCGGCGGGCCGGCGAGAGGTGAGAGGGCGGCTGGCCGGCGAGAGGGCGGCGGAGCGTGGAGGTTACCGGTCTGGGCGTTCCCGTAGCGCAGGCTGAAGAAGGTGCTTCCACATAGATGGCTGGCACAGCCGCTGCTGACGCTGACCTTCTGCACCTCCCTGACGGCTGCGACCCCAGAGGACCATGAGTCAAAGGTCAGCACCTGAAGGACGGCACACATGAGAAAAAGAGGAGCTCAGATGAAGGAAGGAGCCAGAGGACGGATCCTGCCCTGCGGTTTGTTTCTGTCTTTAGGTAGAAGTTGTTTCTGGAGTGACAGAAGAAGCGACGGATCTAATCTGGAAAGTTTCACCATGTCCTTTGACCTCTAACCCCTCTGAAGACCTCAGGAAGCTTGAACCCTGAAGTCTGTTCTGGCTCTAGCTGGTCTTTGTAAACCTGAACATTTAGATTCTAGGGTTTCCTGCAGGACCCGTCCCTGTCAGCGCCTCAGCAGAGGAGCTACAGGCGGCTCTGAACAACCTGTGGTCCATCAAGCCTGACAGCGTCAATGTCACCAGAGTGAACAGAGAAACCCTGTTCACTCTGACCGTTCCTCTTGGGCCAGAACCAAGATGGAGCCCGGAGCAGAATTTCCTTATAACTGTTAACAGGACAAAAAACTGCACTGGTGATTTCAAACCTGAAAGACTTAACCTGTTAAGTTAAAATGTCAAGTTCTTTAAAATTCCAGTTTGGAAACTGGGAGAAATTTAAAAGAGTTGAAGTTCTGATCTGGAGTCCTGATCCAGTACCTGCTCCTCGTCAAACGCTTCATATTCAGCGACGATGTTCTGGATTTCATCGACGGCGTCGTCGGACTGCGCTGCAGTGAAGGAACTTTCCTCCTGGAACAGGCCGATGTTGAGCGAAGCGCCGCCGTAATATTCCTGCTGCAGAAGCTCCAGGTAGTACCTGCAGACGGAAAACCGGCTGATGAGACGAACAAACCGCTTTCTGCCACATGAGCCGTGAAGTCATGCTCACGGTTTTCCTTTCTCCAAGAAAAGCACTTCGGATTTCTGGGACTCCAGCTGGAAGAAGTCCCTGACATATCTGGGCTGGAAAGCCACTTTGACCTGGAGAGAGGAAGTGGGAACGTCAAAGTAGGAAGTGAAGCCGCCTAGCATCAGGAATCAGCTGCAGCTGCTACCTTGTCTTCTGGCCGGCTGGAGTTGCTCAGGTACAGGTCACACCTGTCGTCACAGTGCAGGTATATGTTGAAGTTCCCGCTGAGCGGAGGAACGAGGAAGCCTCTGGTCCGAGAGGCGAACAGCTCGTCTTCCCTGGGGAAGACGTGCGGCAGCGCGTCGACCCACTGGGACCGATAGCCGCTCGTGTTCTGGTTGTAGCTCCAGATCTCGTCCAAGGAGCGCGGACGCTTCTCGCTCCACACGTCCATCTTCAGGCCCCGCCCACCTGGAGGCGCACAGGACAGCGTCAGGTACAGAATCTGGCTGCGGCCGTTCATGGCCAGGAAGGACTGCTGGACGCTCCGGTCTTTGACAAAATAAAAGATTTTAGGGAAAAGTGGCAGAGAAACGGTTCTGATCCGCTTTAGGTCTGGTTTTCCAGATACATTCCAGTTTCACATGGAAACTGAATCTTCTCCTGTGGTCAGTCATGGTGTCCCTCAGGGTCCTGCTTTAGGCCCCGCCCTCTTTCACCAGGAAACCTGATAATCTGCCAGCTCCACTTCCTCTGAAACCAAAGCACCGTCCAATCAGAGCCCTTTGCTCAAGCTACGCGGTTCCACCTCCTCTGGTTCCACCTGTGGTTCCGTGCGACCCGCCGGCGGCGGGCGACGGTTCTGCTAACAGATCGGCTGTTCTGCTCCATCCTGCCGACTCGTCGATGGGACTTTGAATCCCTACAGGCTTCATGCTGGCATCAGCCTGACCTGCTCTCACCTGGGTGAACCTGGCGCTGGGCGTCGGCCGGCCGCGCGGCCGTCCTGCAGGTGATCCTGTCGTCTGCCACGCTGTGGACCTCACAAGGCCGACCTGCAGAAGAAACCGCCGCAGGACAAAACGTCGAAAGATAAAGGAGCTGCTGATGATAAGCAGCAGGTCAAACTAATAAAACATCCATCTGGCTTTGGCAAAGAAACCCATCAATTTTTCTGGTTATCATGATTAAAGATCTTTGTACATTTTGGATTATTTTCTCTGGTTTGAAGGATTTTTTGAATCTGTCGTCAGTCAACAGCTGCTGTGAACTGCTGTCGTCACGGAGTCACAGCACATTGTGTCCTTTCATCTGTGACTCTTTGCTTTTGTCTGAAGTCTTTTTATGCTGTCAAAAGATTATCTGCATGACTGAAGACAGACAGCATTCATCTGTGCATGCGGAACATTTTGTTTTGCCATTCTTCTGGAAAACAGGTTCTGACAGCGTTTTAAAAAGTTTCCACCCTGACGGTCCCGTTTACCTCCGACTAGAACCCGGGCGGGTTCATCGGTCTGGTCGAAGAAGCGGCCGTGGATGGTGAGCAGGGTTCCCCCCATGGCGCTGCCCCGGGACGGGGAGACGGCGGTCACCTCTGGGCAGGAAGTCAGCAGGAAGTCAGCAGGAAGTCAGCAGGAAGTCAGCAGGCTGCAGAGGAGCAGAAATCTGATGCTGCGTTTCTCACTAACATACCTGCAAACGTCTGGAACATGGAGAGTTTGGACAGAGATGAAACCCAGAAGAGCTTCTTCTCTGGGAAACTCCTGAAATGCAACAAGAGTAAAGATTAAAAAATGACAACAACAGTAACATTGTGGAGTTAATAATGATCATTCATTCGCTCTCTGAAGCCTCAACTAAAGCACAACTTGGTCCTCAAATGAGCTGGTAGTGAATTATGTCCCACTGATTCTTTAGACAAATGCTCAGAACTGTTTCTGCTGTTTGTAAAGTTACAGTCAGATATTAACAGCAATAATTTGATTTAGCCAGTAATAAAAGAAATAGGGGTTCATATTTTTAACATACTATTCATTCATCTATAAATATCATAATTTCAAGCTAAATGTTTAGTTAGCAATATTTATAAATATTAAGTGAGAAAGCTAACCGTTTAGCTAATATTTTCACCATGTTATCTATTCAACTATCAATGTCAGTTTAAAACGATTAATAGTTAAATATTTCATTTCAAGCTGAATCATCATTTTTCACTGTTTTAGTTCTACATTTCAGATTAAAGCAAAGTTTATGTAGAACTTATCAAATCAAATCAAATAGCATACAAACTAACCCTAATGAGTTAGCTAAATGTAGCTAGCTCATTTAGCTAGGATACAAACTAACCCTAATGAGTTAGCTAAATGTAGCTAGCTCATTTAGCTAGCATGCAAACTAACCCTAATGAGTTAGCTAAATGTAGCTAGCTCATTTAGCTAGGATACAAACTAACCCTAATGAGTTAGCTAAATGTAGCTAGCTCATTTAGCTAGCATGCAAACTAACCCTAATGAGTTAGCTAAATGTAGTTAGCTCATTTAGCTAGCATACAAACTAAACCTAATGAGTTAGCTAAATGTAGTTAGCTCATTTAGCTAGCATACAAACTAACCCTAATGAGTTAGCTAAATGTAGTTAGCTCATTTAGCTAGCATACAAACTAACCCTAATGAGTTAGCTTAATGTAGCTAGTTCAGAGCTAAATATTTTGTTTGAAGCTAATAGTTTGCTAATGTGACCCAACCGAGGGGCGGGGTTCCTTTTATTTATAGGACGCACCAGAACACTGATTAAAATATCATAGTTTATTAAACAATTTCTTTAAAACACTTCTCTTTTTAAAAAAAAAAACACATTTCAGGCGTACTACTTGGTCCCTGGAAGGGGAAGGGATTCTCTGAAATAAAGACAAATTAAATCATTCCAAAAGAAATAAATGAACAAACAAAACTTGCCATGCAAAAAAGGAAACAAAAGAATAATAAATCCAATAACAAATAAGCACAGACTGTAAACAAACAAAGCACTTCAAACAATGGAATAATTGCTGATGTCCGATTTCAGAAGCCGCTCACAACAGGGCCGAAGGAGTCAGGCCCACACATCCAGAATAGCAGCAGGTTCCGTTCTGAACTGCTCACACCACACTGACAGGACGAGACAGCAGTAGCTATCTAAAGGAGGACTTACCTGTGTGTTTAGGATTTATTTTTTTCTTTTCTTTTGAGATTTTTTCTTAGTCTTCTCCTACAGGTTGGACGGGGTGGCGCAGCGACCCGGGGATGGAGTGGATCAGCAGAATGTGACACTAACTCACTTAATATTTATAGATAAATATTTAGTTTATGACCTAAACTAAATATTGCTGACTAAATATTTAATTTGAAACGTTGGCATTAATAAATGAAGCAGAGGATTACCTTCCATAATCAGCATCCAGGATGTAGCTCATGTTGTGATGACCTGTGGAAATAAAACCTTGCTGAGTTTCTGTTCTGCCAGGTTGAAGGTTAAAGGTCAGGGAAGCATCTTACCAACGTAGGTGCCGGTCATCCTGCAGCTCATGTCGCCCCAGTTTGACGTCTCAGAGTCCAGCTGCAGGTTGTACCTTCACACAGACAGTCTGAGCTGAAGCAGCTGCTTGCAGACCGACCCGCTCAAACATCCCCAACACTTACAGTTCATCTGAGTTGGGCTTCAGCAGCTCGCAGGGCATGCCCCCCATGTAGGACCTGCAGGGTCACAAAGGGTCACCGACGCTCACCAGGGGTCACAGCTTTTTAACACAGCGCTGCTGTTTTTCCAACATACACATTCATTTCTCCAGCCATTTTTTATGTTCTTTGCTTTTGAGACTTTATGGATAAATTTCACTTGGAGGAGGTGACCTTTGACCTTTAACCCTATGGATTGATGTGCCCACCTCAGGAACCTGACGTTGAGGCCGCTGGAGCTCAGGTCCGTGTTGCTCCCGTAAACGTCGGAGTAGATCTGGCCTCGGATCGTCACCAGCGTTCCTGCAGGACAGTTCATATCCCGTTACTGAAACTGGACGGCTGAACTGGGCCGGGTCGGTGCCAGCAGCAGGTTCTGGTGGTACCTGGCAGGCCGGTGACCGGGCTCAGGGAGTAGATGGTCGGAGTGCGCCACCAACGGGTCTGAAGGAGAGAGAGCAGATCAGAACAGGGAGGTAAAACAAGAGGAGGGCAGCAATGGGGGAACCGCAGGGGGAACCAGAGGGGGAACCTGGAACCAGATGGAGAACCGGAGGGGGAACCGGAGGGGGAACCAGAGGAGGAACCAGAGGAGGAACCAGAGGGGGAACCAGAGGAGGAACCAGAGGGGAACCAGAGGGGGAACCAGAGGGGGAACCGGAGGGGGAACCGGAGAGGGAACCAGAGGAGGAACCAGAGGAGGAACCAGACGGAGAACCGGAGGGGGAACCAGAGGAGGAACCGGAGGGGGAACCTGAGGGGGAACCAGAGGGGGAACCGGAGGGGGAACCAGAGGAGGAACCAGAGAGGGAACCGGAGGGGGAACCTGGAACCAGACGGAGAACCGGAGGGGGAACCAGAGGGGGAACCTGGAACCAGACGGAGAACCGGAGGGGGAACCAGAGGGGGAACCAGAGGGGGAACCAGAGGAGGAACCAGAGGAGGAACCAGAGGGGGAACCGGAGGGGGAACCAGAGGAGGAACCAGAGGAGGAACCAGAGGGGGAACCAGAGGAGGAACCAGAGGGGGAACCGGAGGGGGAACCAGAGGAGGAACCAGAGAGGGAACCAGAGGAGGAACCAGAGGAGGAACCAGAGGGGGAACCGGAGGGGGAACCAGAGGGGGAACCAGAGGAGGAACCAGAGAGGGAACCGGAGGGGAACCAGAGGAGGAACCAGAGGAGGAACCAGAGGGGGAACCAGAGGAGGAACCAGAGGGGGAACCGGAGGGGAACCTGGAACCAGACGGAGAACCGGAGGGGGAACCAGAGGGGGAACCAGAGGAGGAACCAGAGGGGGAACCGGAGGGGGAACCAGAGGAGGAACCAGAGGAGGAACCAGAGGGGGAACCAGAGGAGGAACCAGAGGAGGAACCAGAGGAGGAACCAGAGGGGGAACCAGAGGAGGAACCAGAGGGGGAACCAGAGGAGGAACCAGAGGGGGAACCAGAGGAGGAACCAGAGGGGGAACCGGAGGGGGAACCAGAGGGGGAACCAGAGGGGGAACCAGAGGAGGAACCAGAGAGGGAACCGGAGGGGGAACCAGAGGGAGAACCGGAGGGGGAACCGGAGGGGGAACCAGAGGAGGAACCAGAGGGGGAACCGGAGGGGGAACCAGAGGAGGAACCTGAGGGGGAACCTGAGGGGGAACCGGAGGGGGAACCAGAGGAGGAACCAGAGGGGGAACCAGAGGGAGAACCGGAGGGGAACCAGAGGGGGAACCGGAGGGGGAACCAGAGGGGGAACCGGAGGGGGAACCGGAGGGGGAACCAGGGGGGAACCAGAGGAGGAACCAGAGAGGGAACCGGAGGGGGAACCAGAGGAGGAACCAGAGGAGGAACCAGAGGGGAAACCAGAGGAGGAACCAGAGGAGGAACCAGAGGAGGAACCAGAGGGGGAACCAGAGGGGGAACCAGAGGAGGAACCAGAGAGGGAACCGGAGGGGGAACCAGAGGAGGAACCAGAGGAGGAACCAGAGGAGGAACCAGAGGAGGAACCAGAGGGGGAACCGGAGGGGGAACCAGAGGAGGAACCTGAGGGGGAACCTGAGGGGGAACCGGAGGGGGAACCAGAGGAGGAACCAGAGGGGGAACCAGAGGGGGAACCGGAGGGGGAACCAGAGGGGGAACCGGAGGAGGAACCAGAGGGGGAACCAGAGGGAGAACCGGAGGGGGAACCAGAGGGGGAACCGGAGGGGGAACCAGAGGAGGAACCAGAGGGGGAACTGGAGGGGGAACCAGAGGGAGAACCGGAGGGGGAACCAGAGGGGGAACCAGAGGGGGAACCGGAGGGGGAACCAGAGGAGGAACCAGAGGGGGAACCGGAGGGGGAACCAGAGGAGGAACTGGAGGGGGAAGCTGGAACCAGACGGAGAACCGGAGGGGGAACCAGAGGAGGAACCAGAGGGGGAACCGGAGGGGGAACCAGAGGAGGAACCAGAGGGGGAACCGGAGGGGGAACCAGAGGGAGAACCGGAGGGGGAACCAGAGGGGGAACCGGAGGGGGAACCAGAGGAGGAACCAGAGGAGGAACCAGAGGAGGAACTGGAGGGGGAAGCTGGAACCAGACGGAGAACCGGAGGGGGAACCAGAGGAGGAACCTGAGGGGGAACCGGAGGGGGAACCAGAGGAGGAACCAGAGGGGGAACCGGAGGGGGAACCAGAGGGAGAACCGGAGGGGGAACCAGAGGGGGAACCGGAGGAGGAACCAGAGGGGGAACTGGAGGGGGAACCAGAGGACGAACCAGAGGGGGAACCAGAGGGGGAACCAGAGGGGGAACCGGAGGGGGAACCAGAGGGGGAACCAGAGGGAGAACCGGAGGGGGAACCAGAGGGGGAACCGGAGGGGGAACCAGAGGGGGAACCAGAGGGGAACCAGAGGGGGAACCGGAGGAGGAACCAGAGGAGGAACCAGAGGGGGAACCAGAGGAGGAACCAGAGGGGGAACCAGAGGAGGAACCAGAGGAGGAACCAGAGGAGGAACCAGAGGGGGAACCAGGAGGAACCAGAGGAGGAACCAGAGGAGGAACCAGAGGAGGAACCGGAGGGGGAACCAGAGGAGGAACCAGAGGAGGAACCAGAGGAGGAACCAGAGGAGGAACCAGAGGGGGAACCAGAGGAGGAACCAGAGGGGGAACCAGAGGAGGAACCAGAGGAGGAACCAGAGGAGGAACCAGAGGAGGAACCAGAGGGGGAACCAGAGGAGGAACCAGAGGAGGAACCAGAGGAGGAACCAGAGGGGGAACCAGAGGAGGAACCAGAGGAGGAACCAGAGGGGGAACCAGAGGAGGAACCAGAGGAGGAACCAGAGGGGGAACCAGAGGAGGAACCAGAGGAGGAACCAGAGGAGGAACCAGAGGGGGAACCAGAGGAGGAACCAGAGGGGGAACCGGAGGGGGAACCAGAGGAGGAACTGGAGGTGGAAGCTGTGACATACGTAGAAACTGCAGTGGTACGGTTTGTAGTTGCCGTTGCAGATGTTGCTGTCGGGAACGGGAACGCCGTCCACGCTGACATGGACCACGTATTGATCCGCCGGCATCGCCCTGTCAGGGAGCAGCAGACGCCTCTGTAAGAGAAACCCGGACCGGGTCACATGGCCTCACCCCGACCCGGGCCAGGTGTGTACCTGGTGTAGCAGAGGATCTGCTGCCGGTGGGTGGAGTCTCTCTCCACGTCGCAGGGCACCGACAGGGCGTCCGACACCAGGGTGACCCGGTTCCCGAACCCGTCTTCAGGATCCAGCTGGACCTGATGCTCCTGAGCAAAACCTGGAATCCAACAAGCAACTTCTGGTCCGATCAGCAAAACCACACAAATATTCTGAAGCACACCGTCTGGTTCTGATCCGACCGCCTTGGGGTTAAAGAATCGAAAGGGTTCGGATCTGCAGTCATGCAGCAGAATAATCCAGGAATAATCCCAGAAACATTTCAGAGGAACGCCACTGCAGTGAAGAAGAACCGAATCCAACTGATTGTTTCTCTGCGGGTCTGTGGGACGCCAGAGGAACCAAACTTTATGGTTCAAAAATTCAAATCACAAAACTTTCTTACTCAACAGCAACCAAGAAATAGGCAATATTTTTATGAAGCCAGTCAGATTCATTTACAAATGACGTGTAAATTAGTTTCCATTATGAAACAAACAGAAACACCAGTTTTATTTTGAAATACAGAATTTGAGTTACACTTCCTGTGTTTATTAAATAAAACATTTTTTGTATTTATTAAATGAAAAACTGATCTGGATGCAGCAGTTTTCCTCTCACTGAAAGTTTCTGGAAAGTCAAGAGTTATGAAACATTTGACTATTTTAATTTGTTGGTGATAAAGTCAAAGTAAAACTCCCAAAGGGGCCACAGATGGCCCCTGCACCACACTTTGGACACCCCAGAGCTACAGGAACGACTGGATGGGATTATTTCTACTGATGATCAGATCAGTAAAGTATTGATCTGGTTAATCTGATCCTGGCTGATTGAAACACTGTGAAGGTCTCCTCCTCCTCCTCCTCTTCCTCAGCCCCCTACCGTCTCCGCTGATGGTGAGCCGCGTTGCTCCCGCCGTGCTTCCTGTGTGGGGGGAGACCCAGAGGATCCTCTGAGCACCTGGAGAGACGGGCGGCATAATCTGTGATAATCTGTGCAGATTAGAGGAGGCGTCTTTGTGTTTTCTTACAGCAGCAGCTCCAGATGGTGAAGAGGAGCACCGCTGGCCTCCGCCACGCCATCCTGGACAATTCCCAGAGTTCCCTGCTGCTGCACCTGAACGTCCTGCAGGGAGAACAGGAGTTATTTCTTTAATCTGTGATAATCTGCGTCAGTTTGTCATGTTCAGAACTACAAAACAATCATCAGAATTCAGTGACAAATAAAGACCTGAAAGATGAGACAATGTTTCTGAACTCACCTGAACTGAACGCACCTGGAGCCAAACTGGAGAAGAAAACAGAAACAAGACGCCGTCTGCGTCCCGACAGGTGAGCGGCGCTTTATAGGCGTGAAGCCCCGCCCTCACCTGGCAGGGGGCGGGGCCTGAGCTCTGCCTGGAAGCCATCGATCTGAGACTGCAGAGAAGAAAAAGTTTCTCAATTTTTACAAAAATACATTTTCATTAAATTAATTTACAATTTTAGCTTCAGACATCTTCATGGTCATGGTGGAACAGAATTTACAGAAAACTTGTAGATTTGGAATTTATTTCTTGCAGCTCATTTTCAGTTCATCCAAGTTGTTAATAAGAAGAAGAAGAGGAAGAGGAGGGTGTGGCTGCTAAAGACCAGACAGGTGATGAAGAGCAGAGCCGCCCTCTGCATTCCTGCTGCTCTGGGTGACCGCCACACAACAGCATTTCTGTCATAACTGTGATTTTTGTAGGAACCGGGTCAGACTGTCTGGCTCCGAGCAGAACTTCATGTTCCAGAACATCAGCCACGTTAATCCCAGATCAACAGGAAGTGGAGGACAGGAAGTGGCTCCCTGAGGCGCCAAGAGTTAAAGCAACGATCACGAGATTCACTGTGAACAAGACGAGAGCTGCACACACACACACACACACACACACACACACACACACACACACACACACACACCCACACACACACACGCAGACACACACACACACGCAGACACAGACACACGCAGACACACACACACACACACGCAGACACACACACACACATCTACACACACACACACACACACACACACATCTACACACACACACACACACACACACACACACGCAGACACACACACACACACACACGCAGACACACACACACACACCCACACACACACCCCCACACACACACACACACGCAGACACAGACACACGCAGACACACACCCACACACACACACACGCAGACACACACACACACACCCACACACACACACGCAGACACGCCCTCTCTCTCTCTCTCTCTCTCTCTGTGTGTCTCATACTAACTCTCCCCCTCAGATCGGATGGAGCAGCTAGAGCTTGATAGTTCCGCTGGGAACAGATTCGGAATCCACGTGGTTCCGGTCCAATTGCTGCCATATTCCTCCCTGTTAAAACGCGTTTCTGTGGCGGAGAGACCAAGAACTCCTCCTCCCATGATGCACCTGGAGGTCCGCCGCTGCGGGGCTCCGTGTGGAAACAGGAAAACGTGAATCTTACGCATCACCATCGTTATTCTGTTTGGGTTCTGCTTGGGTTCTGCTTGGGTTCTGCTTGGGTTCTGCTTGGGTTCTCGGCGGAAGTCATGGCCGCAGCGAACTACAGCCTGAAGGTGAACCGAGACCTTTTGGACCCGAACTTTGAGAGCTACCGGCTGTCTCTGGACCCCATCCCGACCTACACCGTGGAGCTGGACGCGGGTGAGGTTCCGACAGCAGCTGATCGGTCCGTTGGACCGGGTCCTGCATGGTTTAGTCCGAACCTGGATCCAATGATGAAGCAGAACATGGACCTGCTGAAAGGTTGTCGGTACCGGGCCAGAACTAAACCTGCAGGACCCACTTTGGACTCTGCTGTTTAGAGTATTTAGAACCTGAGAACAGGTCGGGTCTGTCCCGGTCTGGACCGGGACCGGGTCATTGTGGACCAGAATTTACAGTAAACTTTAACTAGACCAGAAGGTTCTGCGGACTTTCTCTGGACCCAGATCAACAGAATTGTGGTTCTGTTTACATCTTATCGATTCTGTTGATCTCTGACGTCATCCAGACCTGGTCTGATGTCATATTTGCTGTTTGGAGCAGATTGTTCCCACCATCACTCCTGACCTCTGGCATCTGAGTCCAGTCCACCTTTTCTGGTCCAGAACCACAGCTGGCTCTGGTTCTGTCTAACCGGTCCTGTCCTCTGCGCTGTAGCGGTGGAGGAGCTGCAGCTGAAGGACGCTCACTACACTCTGGAGCATCTGCGGGCGTTCGGCATGTTCAACCACCTGCAGCTGGACCCGTGGTACCAGGATAGCGTTCTGTTTGTGGACTCCAGAGGACGGGTTCTGACCTTCAGCGTGACCCTGGTGAGTCTCTGCAGCTCTAGAACCGGCTTACTGGACCTGACCCGCTCCGGTTCTGCTGGGAAGGCGCTGTTGCTCTGAGTGTCCAGCAGGGGGTGCTGTTTCTCTGCAGCTGGGCTGATGCAGCAGGCACATCCCAACGGTGGTAAAGGATTCTGAAGAAGTTCTGTTGGGTCCAGACTCTGTCAGGTGATAATGAAGTCAATAATTGCAGCAGTGATTACAGAAATGTGTTCTGGTTCTGATCCAGGTTGGCTGTAATCAGAGATAATGACTCTAAATGATCAGCCTGTGTTCTCTGCTTCGGCGCTGCCAGCCCAGGCTCACTATGTGGTTCTGGTTCTGATGGCCGTGTTCTCCGGGCTCCAGCAACAGATCCAGAGCTAGTTCTAATGGACGCACCGGATTATTAACCCAGATTATCCACATGTTCTCCAGATGAGCATCAGAACCTCCAGGTTCAGTTTCTCCAGAACCATCCGGAGTGGGCCCTGCTCTGCTCTCTGGGCTCTGATTGGTCAGAAACCAGGAAGTCCTCCAGCAGAGTGAGACGCGCTGAGACCCTGGTTGAATCCAGAAGGTTATGAAGATTTTACCGGGTCAGAACCATCATCACTCTGATCTGAACTTTCTAGAAGAAAATCTGGAATAAGTTAAACTGGAAGCAGATCACGGTCCAGCTTCCTGTGTCCCGGTCAGACTCTGCCTGGTGGTTCTGATGGACCGGATGGCAGGGATACAGAGGTCCAGTCAGGCCCGGGTTCTGAGTGAAGTATTACTGCAGAGATGATCTGTGTCCAGTGGCCAGTCCTGAACTGGTTCCTCACTGGACTCGGCTCTGGTTCTGGTTCCAGGATACGGCTCTGGGGAAGCCCAAGGAGGTCTTCAGATTCGGTTCCGAGTCCGGCCGCGCCGAGGACCGACTCTGCGCCTCCATCAGCCTCACCTCGGCCACCTGGGCGGCGCTTTCTGACGGCGCCGGGCGGCTGCTGCTGCTCCGCACCGGCAGGAGGGGAGACGGCGCCCACTGCAGGTGGGAGGTGAGTCAGACAGGTGGAAGGGTCGTGACCCTAACTCATCAGAGCTCAGCATGTAGAATGTTAGGCAACCTGCTGGTGCAGCTCCAGAACCATGAGGAAGACCTGGGGAAGATCTGAGACTAAGTCTAGCTACCCTAAGGCTGACAACAGGTGAACATCAGGCAAACATCAAACTAGTACCAGGCTAGCATCTCGATAGCATTAAATTAACATCATCCTAACATCAAGTTAGCATTAGCCTAGCATTGGGCTAACATCTGGCTTGCTTTGAGCAAATATCTCACTTACATCAGGCTAACATCAGACTGGCATCAGGCTAGCATCATGCTAACATCAAGCTAGCATCAGACTGGCATCAAGCTAGCTCCGGGCTACCATCTAATTAGCATCGAGTTGTTGGCATCAAGCATACATTGACTAACATCAGGTTAGCATGAGACTGGCATTGGGCTTATATCCGCATGGCATCAGGCTAACATCTGATTGACATCAGGCTAGGATCAAGCTAGCCTGATGGCATCGGGTTAGCATCAGGCTGACATCAAGTTAGCATTGGGATGGCATCAGACTAACATAAGGCTAGCTTCAAACTAACATCATTGTTGTAATCAGGTTGACATCAGACGAGCATTGGGCGAACATCCGGCTAGCACCAGGCAAACATCTGATTAGCTGAGACCTGGCATTGGGCTAATATCAAGCTAGCGTTATGTTGGTATCGGGCAAAGATCAAGCTACCATCTAGCTAGCATAAGGTTAACACCAGGCTGGCATCTGTCAAACATTGGGCTAACATAAGGTTAACATGAGGCTTGCTTTGTGCTAATATATGGCTAGCATCAGGCTAACATCTGACTGACATCAGGCTAGGATCAAGTTAGCATCAGGCTAGTGTTGTGCTTTAGGAAGTTCTTGGTTCTGTACCGGTTCTGTACCTGGGTCATAGAGATTCTTTCTGTCCTGGGTTTTCGTTAACTTCCTTTTCTCTCATGCGGTTCCTGCAGGTTCTGTTCAGTGACCACATGGGGGAGCCGTTCACCATCCTGCACAGTGTCTCTCACGTTCAGGATGGCTGTCATGCCGTAGAGGTGCTGCTGTTGCGTGTGCAGAAGGAGCCGCTGGAGTCCACAGGAAGTGGCTACTCGGTGTCCCTGGAGTGGGTCACGGTGGGCGGCAGCGCCGGACCTGGTGGGTGAACCGGACCAGAACATCTCTGGGGAGACGGGGGATTTTCAGGAAGCTTCCTGACATTTGCTCTGATTAATATAGCAGACATTAAAGATGACTGAAAGCTGCAGATCAGAGATTCATGGAAGCATCATTCTGTGCTGGTCTCCACCTGCAGGGCAGGAGAGGAAGTACGAGGTGAGGAAGAGGAGGGTCCTGAGAGGGAAGTCGGTGCCGCACTACGCCGCCGTGGCGCCGCGGGGCGAAGGGCTAATGCTGGCCACAGAGAAACCGTTTGACTTCACGGATGTCGATGGCCGGCCTGTGGAGACGCCGCCGCCACCGGAGCTCAGCGAGCTGGATAAGGCAGGTGGGTCAAAGGTCACACTGGGTCAGAGGTCAGATTGGGTCCAAGTTACAACAGTTCCACCTCTTTTCAGCCTTAAACTATTTTTCTTCTTGATTTTATCTGAGACAAAATTAACACAGAGGTGGAAATAGAATCTTAAAAGTGCGGCCATACTACCCTTATTTTATTCAGACTTATCTTACAAAACAACAAAAGGAAATAAAATGAAATGTGTTTCTCCAAGCTGTTTTTCCTGTTTTCTCAGCAGCTCAGAGTTAGCAGGAGAATATCATCTGATCATATTTACTCATAATTTGTCAACATCATTCATAATTCACATAAAAGGATTATATGAGGATTATAATATGCGGCTGGGGAGAACGGCAGGAATCTTTACGCCAAAGCTCTGAAATGGTAAAGAAATGGTCAGCAGGTGGCGCTGTAGGCTGCTTTCTAAATGACAGTACAAAACATCCAACGCCCAATGCCGTGAGGAGGAGGCCTTTTTTTTTTTTTTTTACATACAAAAATCTCAAGCTGGAACCTTTATTTTGACCTGTTTCTGGTACGCTCATAAATATGACGCACAGCGATGTCTGCTAACAGCGAAGCCTCTTCTCTGCTTCAAGCGATCTGATTGGACACCGGAAAAGCCTGTCGATGTGTTGAAGTTGTGCTGAAAGCGGTTAGCCTATAAGTTTAGAGATGTTAGCCAAAATTATCATCTGACTGCTAAAATGTAGCAGCTAATGCTAATGTCAGCATCTGTATCAGCATCTGTTTCTGAAGAAGCTCAACAAACCCTCTGCTCCAGCCTGATGGTGGAGAACAGATTAAAAACTGTCAACATATTTGGAGTTTCACTCATTTATTTGATACTTAAAATAAATACAAAAATGGGTTAGAATTGCTCATTATTGTCAATTTTATGGTTTTTGATTAAAGTGGGACTGAAACTGAATCACAGACCATGAAATTAACTTTGATTAAAAATTGTAATAAAATGCCAAAACTACATAAGTTCCTGTTGTTATCCTGGGCTTCTGGCCTGAGCGGGTCTGCTCTGGTTTCAGATCCGCTGTACTTCTGGCAGCAGACGGCGGCGGACCTCACCGTCTGTGTCCGCCTTCCGGGGGGCGTGGCCAAGGAGGACGTGAGCTTCCGGCTAACGGCGGACAGCCTGAGCATCGGGATTCGGGGACGCCCCCCGCTG